ATTAAATAACCATGATGCTGATGGCAACACTTGTTCACTATGGATCCACTGATTTACATCAACACGGATGTGAAATGGTGACAGGAAGCATCACAGCATATGAGAGAAACATTGGCAGGACAATCAATCCAATTAATCATTTCAGGTGATCTTCCTTGTTCCAACATCAGCCAAACAATGATAGCTTTTGGTTTGGAAGGAGGCAATAAAACTACCTTGGGGGGTCATGATAGAAAAAACAATCAAAAGCTCTCCCCATGTCATGAACGTTTCATCTACCTAAATGATTTTGTGCTTCATCTACCAATATACAACTACTTCACTACACATATGATCACCACTTCATCTACCCACATGATCACCACTTCATCTACCCATGTGATCACCACTTCATCTACCCATGTGACCACTACTTCATCTACCCATATACAACTACTTCATCTACCAATGTGATCACCACTTCATCTACCCATGTGATCACCACTTCATCTACCCATGTGACCACTACTTCATCTACCCATATACAACTACTTCATCTACCAATGTGATCACCACTTCATCTACCCATGTGATCACCACTTCATCTACCCATGTGATCACTACTTCATCTACCAATGTGATCACCACTTCATCTACCCATATACAACTACTTCATCTACCCATGTGATCACCACTTCATCTACCCATGTGACCACTACTTCATCTACCCATATGATCACTACTTCCACTACCCATGTGACCACTGCTTCATCTACCCATATGATCACTACTTCCACTACCCATGTGACCACTACTTCATCTACCTATGTGATCACCACTTCATCTACCCATGTGACCACTACTTCATCTACCCATATGATCACTACTTCTACTACCCATGTGACCACTGCTTCATCTACCCATATGATCACTACTTCCACTACCCATGTGGCCACTACTTCATCTACCCATGTGATCACTACTTCATCTACCAATGTGATCACCACTTCATCTACCCATGTGACCACTACTTCATCTACCCATGTGACCACTACTTCATCTACCCATATACAACTACTTCATCTACCCATGTGATCACCACTTCATCTACCCATGTGACCACTACTTCATCTACCCATATGATCACTACTTCCACTACCCATGTGACCACTGCTTCATCTACCCATATGATCACTACTTCCACTACCCATGTGGCCACTACTTCATCTACCCATGTGACCACTACTTCATCTACCCATGTGACCACTACTTCATCTACCCATGTGGCCACTGCTTCATCTACCCATATGATCACCACTTCATCTACCCATGTGGCCACTACTTCATCTACCCATATACAACTACTTCATCTACCCATTTGATCACCACTTCATCTACCCATGTGACCACTACTTCATCTACCCATATACAACTACTTCATCTACCCATTTGATCACCACTTCATCTACCAATGTGTCCACTACTTCATCTACCCATATGCTCACTACTTCCACTACCCATGTGACCACTGCTTCATCTACCCATATGATCACTACTTCCACTACCCATGTGGCCACTACTTCATCTACCCATTTGATCACCACTTCATCTACCCATGTGACCACTACTTCATCTACCCACATGACCACTACTTCATCTACCCATGTGGCCACTACTTCATCTACCCATTTGATCACCACTTCATCTACCCATGTGACCACTACTTCATCTACCCACATGACCACTACTTCATCTACCCATGTGACCACTACTTCATCTACCCATGTGACCACTACTTCATCTACCCATATACAACTACTTCATCTACCCATTTGATCACCACTTCATCTACCAATGTGATCACCACTTCATCTACCCATATGATCACTACTTCACTACCCATATACAACTACTTCCTCTACCCATGTGACCACTACTTCATCTACCCATATGATCACCACTTCCACTACCCATGTGGCCACCACTTCATCTACCCATGTGACCACTACTTCATCTACCCATATACAACTACTTCATCTACCCATGTGATCACTACTTCATCTACCCATGTGACCACTACTTCATCTACCCATGTGACCACTTCTTCATCTACCCATATGATCACCACTTCATCTACCCATGTGGCCACCACTTCATCTACCCATGTGACCACTACTTCATCTACCCATATGATCACCACTTCATCTACCCATGTGGCCACCACTTCATCTACCCATGTGACCACTACTTCATCTACCCATATACAACTACTTCATCTACCCATGTGATCACCACTTCATCTACCCATGTGATCACCACTTCATCTACCCATATGATCACTACTTCCACTACCCATGTGACCACTGCTTCATCTACCCATATGATCACTACTTCCACTACGCATGTGGCCACTACTTCATCTACCCATGTGATCACTACTTCATCTACCCATGTGATCACCACTTCATCTACCCATGTGACCACTACTTCATCTACCCATATGATCACTACTTCCACTACCCATGTGGCCACTACTTCATCTACCCATGTGACCACTACTTCATCTACCCATGTGACCACTACTTCATCTACCCATGTGGCCACTGCTTCATCTACCCATATGATCACCACTTCATCTACCCATGTGGCCACTACTTCATCTACCCATATACAACTACTTCATCTACCAATGTGATCACCACTTCATCTACCCATGTGACCACTACTTCATCTACCCATATGATCACTACTTCCACTACCCATGTGGCCACTACTTCATCTACCCATGTGACCACTACTTCATCTACCCATGTGACCACTACTTCATCTACCCATGTGGCCACTGCTTCATCTACCCATATACAACTACTTCATCTACCCATATACAACTACTTCATCTACCCATTTGATCACCACTTCATCTACCAATGTGTCCACTACTTCATCTACCCATATGATCACCACTTCATCTACCCATGTGACCACTACTTCATCTACCCATATACAACTACTTCATCTACCCATTTGATCACCACTTCATCTACCAATGTGTCCACTACTTCATCTACCCATATGATCACCACTTCATCTACCCATGTGGCCACTACTTCATCTACCCATAAACAACTACTTCATCTACCCATTTGATCACCACTTCATCTACCCATGTGACCACTACTTCATCTACCCATATACAACTACTTCATCTACCCATATACAACTACTTCATCTACCCATTTGATCACCACTTCATCTACCAATGTGTCCACTACTTCATCTACCCATATGATCACCACTTCATCTACCCATGTGACCACTACTTCATCTACCCATATACAACTACTTCATCTACCCATTTGATCACCACTTCATCTACCAATGTGTCCACTACTTCATCTACCCATATGATCACTACTTCCACTACCCATGTGACCACTGCTTCATCTACCCATATGATCACTACTTCCACTACCCATGTGGCCACTACTTCATCTACCCATTTGATCACCACTTCATCTACCCATGTGACCACTACTTCATCTACCCACATGACCACTACTTCATCTACCCATGTGGCCACTACTTCATCTACCCATTTGATCACCACTTCATCTACCCATGTGACCACTACTTCATCTACCCACATGACCACTACTTCATCTACCCATGTGACCACTACTTCATCTACCCATGTGACCACTACTTCATCTACCCATATACAACTACTTCATCTACCCATTTGATCACCACTTCATCTACCCATGTGATCACCACTTCATCTACCAATATGATCACTACTTCACTACCCATATACAACTACTTCCTCTACCCATGTGACCACTACTTCATCTACCCATATGATCACCACTTCATCTACCCATGTGACCACTACTTCATCTACCCATATACAACTACTTCATCTACCCATGTGATCACCACTTCATCTACCCATGTGACCACTACTTCATCTACCCATATGATCACTACTTCCACTACCCATGTGACCACTACTTCATCTACCCATGAGACCACTACTTCCACTACCCATGTGATCACCACTTCATCTACCCATGTGGCCACCACTTCATCTACCCATGTGACCACTGCTTCATCTACCCATGTGATCACTACTTCATCTACCAATGTGATCACCACTTCATCTACCCATGTGATCACTACTTCATCTACCCATGTGATCACCACTTCATCTACCCATGTGACCACTACTTCATCTACCCATGAGACCACTACTTCCACTACCCATGTGATCACCACTTCATCTACCCATGTGGCCACCACTTCATCTACCCATGTGACCACTGCTTCATCTACCCATGTGACCACTACTTCATCTACCCATGTGATCACCACTTCATCTACCCATGTGACCACTACTTCATCTACCCATATGATCACTACTTCCACTACCCATGTGACCACTACTTCATCTACCCATGAGACCACTACTTCATCTACCCATGTGACCACTACTTCATCTACCCATATGACTACTACTTCATCTACCCACATGACCACTACTTCATCTACCAATGTGACCACTACTTCATCTACCCATGTACCCACTACTTCATCTACCCATATGACCACTACTTCATCTACCCACATGACCACTACTTCACTACCCATGAGACCACTACTTCATCTACCCATGTGACCACTTCTTCATCTACCCATGTGACCACTACTTCATCTACCCATGTGACACTACTTCATCTACACATATACCACCACTGCGTCATCTCTGCTGTGTCTACCTATGTGACATAACTTTAGTATATCAATTGGTAACTATTCTCGGATCAATTCCCATCGTTAACAGTCCTTCAAAACAGAGGTTAAATATGAATGCAAACTTCACTGTTAATGTGAACTGTAAATTAATGTCGCAACTCTACTGAGCAAATCACTTCAGACAATTAAACAGTACTGATTTTATTTATCACCAAACCTAAATAGTTCTCTTGAGTACGGCTCATACTGTGTCCTGCCATACTACTTACATCACACTGTACATTGAGAGGATGACTTTTGGTGGTAAAATCAAGGGAGGTAACTTCACTGCCATCATCGGTGGTGTTGTAGCGAGCAAGGATGCAGTTGGTGCGGACAGTTACACCAGCAGCTGCTAGATTATCTGTGATGGTTTTCTCCACAGTTGGGTTGTTTACACAGGTCACCTTCAACAAAACAAAGTTGGCAATGTCAGATGATGAAGAAGATATCCCGCTTTGATAACACTAACACTTGACTATACTTACAAAAGACACATTTTACAGAATGGAAGTGCTAGGCTCAGCCAACAGATGTGTTGTTTAGGATGTTACAGAGTCCAACCAATCCCCATTTCAGTCCCCTCATCTAACAAGCTCTGGATACAGGTCACCTGCCCTTGGATTCTAATGGTGGGACATTTAGTCATATGTCTTTACAGCCCAAACTCAACACAGAAGCGACTACGCTTTCATAACATATTTTTCTTCCATACATTTACTCAAGCCTGTACAATGCAAATCTCCTTATGCACCTCATCATAGTAAAATCCAAAGTGTGACTGCAGACAAAAATATGCATTATGAAGAAAAATAAATAGACAAAGGTTTTCAGTTTAACCTCAGCCACTCATCAAAAGTATATAACAGTTACAACTAAAATCATGTCAACATCATATCTGAAACACGGCAAAAAGTATGATCAGAGTATTTGAATATGAAACAATGTTAAAAAAATATAATACTTCTGAGAACATAATAACAGGATATATAAATATTAAACATATCCAAAGCCAATTACTCATGTTTGGAAGGGTCGGTCGGTTAGCCTAGTGGTTAAACCCTTCACTCGTCACGCCAAGGATACAGGTTCGATTCGACATGGGTACAATGTGTGAAGCCCATTTCTGGTGTCCCCTGGAATATTGCTAAAAGCGGCGTAAAACCAAACTTACTCACTCACTCATTCATATTTGGACTGCATAATTCATTACTGAAAAGGGCCCTTCACATCTGACTTGTATTGTTCTGTAGCTGTTTAACTGTTTTTACCCTACGATACACACGAATGGAAACCAATTATCACACGTGGTACCAGTGTAATTGACAAAATATCTGAAAAGAATTTCATATATAATATGTGTAATAGCTGATTATCAATTTGCTATATGAATTATTGACTTATTCCAGCTGTCACCATCCAAGCACAGAACTCCTTCAAAGTGGCAGTCAATAAGCTCAAAATCAAATTAAGCTGCTTTCGGGTTGGGCTTAACACCACTTTGAACAGTATATCAGTTCAATTATGGCATGTAAGCAGGTCTGAGAGGTACTTTAAACACTTTGGCGTTGTAAATCAACAATCAACAATTTCGGCATCGTTGGCTGATGCCAGATCATGTGGCAATAAAGGCAAACTCTGTGAGATTAACAAACAGGCAGGAAAATTAATCCAGTAAAATAACTTATCTTGACATACTTACATTTTTTATAATTTTCATTTGATGTATTTTATATACCCAACACCATTTTGCTGATATTATTGATGATATCTTATCCAAAAGTTCATTCATAATAAACACAATTTAGTTCATCATTTTTGGATGTAATATTCCTATAGTATTTATATTTTTCTTTCTTGAGTAAATACATGTATATTAGATTGTGAAATTTCTACACAAACACTTTGTGCACATTATGTAACTGATTTTAAACTTGTAAGACAAAGGGATCAACATTGTCAAGGATAAAACCATTTGGGGAAGACTGCAGAAACTACACCATAAAAGTGTCAGGTGCATATAATTCAAATTTGAGAAAGTCAGTCAGTTAGATTTTAAAAAAAGTAAACTAACACAGGTGTACTCAGAAGCATTTCACAATTCATGAATTACAAAAATTTCAGTAAAATTTCAGTTAGGAGAAATCTTAAAATCTACATATTGTTGTAACTGTTGTACTTCACTTCATGACGTTAATGTTCGTCAAATTAACTCAGCAGTCTAGGGGTTAGTTACTCCTTCTTCTAATATACTGGCTGTGAATAACACCAGTGTAACATGAGGATCTACTTTCACATCACTGAATAGCCTGCTAACATTGAAGTCGGAATCATGTAAACAATGACAAACCTTGACCGAGGTACATAAATACTACAGCAGACAAACTGGAGAATAACCTAGATTTTATATATTACTTATAATCTTCTCTTTCTAACAAAAGATAGAAAACTATGGGTTTCTCGATTTAAAGTGGTGGGATCACCTCAGTCAGTACATTGTTTTAATTTGTCTGTCACATAAAATCATCTGTGATATAATGAACAATGGCATCATCTCAAATTATTTGTGTTTCAATGATGTCAAATCGGCATCAGCCTCTTCACAAAAAGTAAAGAAACAATTGGCTGCATTAGCCAGTCACCATGAAGCACAATTCATAATGCAGGGATGAGAATGTTTTTATAAAAAAAACGCTGAAACTAAGCCTTGGGATCTTGGGAACTATATGATTTATGTGTATATTTTAATGACGTATGACAAAAGTGTTCCTTTACTTAACTAAATCTGCAGAATTCTGCAGATCCAGGGACAATTCTCTTCCCTGCTAATGAGCAGTTTGCCCTGTATCTGTGACCCTGTAGGCAGTAATATTACCTCATATGCAAGTGGTGGCTGGACGAGACTGATGCGACTGGGTTCCACGCCGGCACTCATCAGGGTCTGCACACAGCAGATCGCATCCAGGGTGTTGCCATACACCACTATCTTCTCTGGGAAAACAAGAAACAGATCAAGTCATAATTGGCAAATAAAAACTGAAAATTGACACTTCATCAAAATGTCAAGCCACGGGAACATGCTCCACAACCAATCTTTAAGTTCTACGAGTATACTTCACTTAACTACACTACAGACAGTAAGAAGATTCTTTATGGAACAGGGTCTTGGTGTGTCTGTGGGGTAGTGAGTGATTTATGTTTCATGCTGCAGGCAGCAATGATCCAGCTATACCTCAGCAGGTAGCAGACCAAATGCCCCAAGGAAATTTGCCTCCAAGGAAAACTGATCCCTAAGGAAAATGTATCCCAAGGAATCTGTACTGAGGAAATCTACCCCTGTCCCTAGGAGACCTGAGGTCAAGGTAACTGTCCCTTGGAAAACTGCCCCTAGGGAATCTGAAGACATGGAAACTGTCCCAAGGAAAGCTGACCATAGGGAATCTGAAGCCAAGGAAACTGTCCCAAGGAAAACTGCCCCTAGGAAAGCTGTCCCTAGGGAATCTGAGGCCATGGAAACTGTCCCTTGGAAAACTGCCCCTAGGGAATCTGAAGCCATGGAAACTGTCCCAAGGAAAGCTGACCCGGAGGGAATCTGAAGCCAAGGAAACTGTCCCAAGGAAAACTGCCCCTAGGAAAGCTGTCCCTAGGGAATCTGAGGCCATGGAAACTGTCCATAGGAAACTGCATGAAGCCAAGGAAACTGTCCCAAGGAAAGCCAGTTACTCATATTTGGAAGGGCCGGACGCGTAGCCTAGTGGTTAAAGCAGTTCGATTCCAGACATGGGTACAATGTGTGAAGCCCATTTCTGGTGTCCCCTGCTGTGATATTGCTGGAATAATGCTAAAAGCGGCGTAAAACCAAACTTACTCACTCACTCATATTTGGACTGCATGATTCATGACTGAAAAGGGGCCTTCACATCTGACTTGTATTGTTCTGTAGCTGTTTAACTGTTTTTACCCTACGATACACATGAATGAACACCAATTATCACACGTTAAAGTATGGTACCAGTGTAATTGACAAAATATCTGAAAAGAATTTCATATAATATGTGTAATAGCTGACTATCAATTTGCTATATAAATTATTGACTTATTCAAGCTGTCACCATACAAGCACAGAACTCCTTCAAAGTGGCAGTCAATACGCTCAAAATCAAATTAAGCTGCTTTTGGGTTGGGCTTAACACCACTTTGAACAGTATATCAGTTCAGTTATGGCAAGTAAGCAGGTCTGAGAGATACTTTAAACACTTTGGCGTTGTAAATCAACAATCAACGATTGTCATCGTCGGCTGATGCCAGATCATGTGGCAATATAGGCAAACTCTGTGAGATTAACAAACAGGCAGGAAAATTAATCCAGTAAAATAACTTATCTTGACATACTTACATTTTTTATAATTTTCATTTGAAAGTTATAGGAAAGCTATCCCTAGGAAAACTGCTGTCAAGAAAGCCTCCTGAGCCCAAATGTCTATTATTTCGTTTTGTTGTTTAGTTTCCCTTTTGTTATACTCTATTTCCTTTCCTTTACCATTTTCCAATTTCCATATGTACCAAAATTGCAGCCTCCAGCCAGGAGTGTTAACCATGTTCTTGTCCAACATTTATACAGTCTTTTGTGTTTAAACAGCCTTGGCGTCCTATATCCACCACACGCACCGTGTTTACAACTGCCCCAAGGAAAATGTTCCTAAGAAAACTGTCCCTAGGAATGCCAACCCTAGGAGTGCCACCCCTAGGAATGCCGCCCCAGGAATGCTGCCCCTAGGAAAGCCACCCCTAGGAATGCTGCCCCTAGGAAAGCCACCCCTAGGAATGCTGCCCCTAGGAAAGCCACCCCTAGGAAAGCCGCCACTAGGAATGCTGCCCCCAGGAAACTGTCAAGTAATGTTAAAGCACAGGAAAAGTATTTTGGGAAATATTTATAAGCTTATGTTAAATGTTGAATGTTAAATGGAAGCTCCAAATCCATATGTTCAAATTGAAATGGCTACTGAGAATAAACATGTGTATTTGGAAATGTAGGCAGTGAGGAAGCCTTTAAATAGGTGAGAATGTATCTGTTTGAGAAGTTCCAGGCGCTGTACATGCAGCAGTCTCCTTAACCTCTAACTGGCAGAAATCCATGGGACAGTTATCCTAGAATCATCTTGGCAGCCTGTAAACAACTGATGCACCAAGAAATCAGTGGCTGACAGCAAGAACAATAATCCTTAATGACACCAAATCAGCATGTTTCATGCTGGAACCTGAACCTCATTGGTCCAAAATGATTATCTATGTATTACAGAAGAGAACAACAACATGTCAAATGCATTAAATCTTACTCTCAGTCTTGAGTAGACCATTCTCCACCCTGTAGAGAGCCACTGAGGAATCATACGCATCATTGGTCAGAAACAGGTTCTTGGGCACACTGCCCGTGTGTCTGCGATCAGGGCTGTTCTCAAGGTCAGCATTTGTCTCCCCTGCCTCAATGTCAGCATCAGTTGGACATGGGACCTGGTACTGCTGACCAGTGCTGATGACCAGGTGGTCAAATGGGACGACGACATTCCCATTCACCACCACAAGCTTCTTCTTCCTAGGAGCAAAAAGAAGTCCTAAATTGACACAACTGACAGTAGATGATAAGTCTTATAAATAATATTTTAACATAAACCAAGAACAATAAGCTCTTGAGACATTTTACAAATGGATGATAATTAGTCTGTGCCAAACTCTGCTAGCCTGAATTTGTCTCTAAAATGTAAAATAAAATGTTAATATCTGGTCTATTTGTAGCTGAGATAAGCAGAGAGAAATAGATTTCAGGGCTCAGACTAGTGCCCAAAGTTGCAGGCTGTAACGGTTTGCCTTTGTCTAAAATCCATCATGGACCTCCACAGTTGATACCATTACAAAGCACTTAAGAACATAATTTTAATGGTATGAACAAATCAGAATCCAATTGTTTCAGATTCCAAGACCTTTTCACAATTTGATATCTTTTTCGTTTAAAACACTAACCAATTTTTAAGTTTTAATGCCATGGATGACAAACATGGCCCTTTATGGTTCAAGACATCCTCCAAAGCTTCATGATGACCCCTTCCTATATTATTCCTATAAAACTTCCACTGCATAGTAGTACCTGTCTATGGCTGTCATCTTGCCGTACACCACGTTGACCCATGTCCGCAATGCACTCTTGCTGTACTCCTCCTGGCTGTAGCAGTGGCTGCAATACAGTCACATACTTGTCATGCTAGTGTGTTTTTTACGATTTTAAAACAACACTGTGTAGTCTGCAGGTAAGTGTAAATGTTTATTAATTTTTGTCATATTTGATGAAAATAGGGTTGGCAGATCCATAATCCTAACAGTAAAATAAATATATTCTTACTGTAGCTTTAACATGAACTGCATGGGGAAAAGGACATGAACTTGATGGCAAATGAGATTGTTGAGGGAGCAAGTTACCTGGTGGAGAGGAAGGAGTCTCGGAGGGCATCAGGCAGCATCTCCCCGGGGATGCCATGCGGGGAGATCAGCGTCAGGTTGTTGAATCTCAGATGGGGGCTGGCAAACAGTACACCAGGATGAGGATCATAGACATCAGGGCTTGGTCAAATGGCTTTCATTCATTTTCTTTTTACACCTATCCCCTTCCAGTTAGTAACTAACTTTTTGAGCTGTTTGACAATACAATATATCTTAAACTAACATTTCAAAATGTCACACTTGACTAGGATTCTTCTCTATATATTATAAAGCTGCCGAAGAGCAAAGAGAGTGGACACCTCCCTTAAGGTAGTGGAAGATCATGTACCTGACAACAGTGTTTACAAACTTCTGAACAACATTTTCCAAATGGGGCATAAATGACCAAGGATGTCTAAGGCACTGTAGTATGCTGCACAGAGTTATGGCCCTTAGTATGTCAGGATCTGCTGATCAAAACCCTGGTTCTCCCTGATTATGATCCTTTTCAAAAAGTGATAAACAATACTTTCCTGGTAAATAAAGCTGATATTACATGACATAACTGAAATATTGTTCAAAGTGCTGATATACAACAAACACTCACTCACTCACTCACTCACTCACTCACAATCATCAGTAGCAGCAGTGTCCCTACTCACCAGTAAGCCAGAGTTTCCAGGAAAGAGATCCCTACATCAGATGCCCCAACCACAACTATCCTGGCATTGATGGTCACCTGATAAAATACAGAGAGTTCCAAGGCTTGAGTCACCAAATTTAAGGATTTTGTGTAGTAAAATGATTAACAATGAGAAAACAACATCTAAAAAAAGTACTGAATGTTTGTTGAAATGTGGCCCCGATGGATGTCCCTGAAGAGGTTGCTGCACGGCATTGTTGAACTTCTATTTTCGAGTAATATTTCGATATTTATGAATTACTTTGATATCCAATATTGTGTGAGTGAGTATGGTTTTACGCCACTTCTAGCAATATTCCAGCAATATATGGCAGGGGACACCAGAAATGGGCTTCACACATTGTACCCATGTCGGGAATCCAACCCGGATCTTCGGCGTGACAGTGAACGCTTTAACCACTAGACTACCCGAGCACCCCTTCAATTTTGAGGTTTAATCATATTAAACCACCAAAATCCAAGCAAGTCAAAGAATATTTTTGTCTGCTTAATATGAGCTTCATCGCCCGATATTATAAATAGTATTGCTGTCACATGATCACTCAAACAAACATGGCGGATAGGTATCCAGTAGTCTGTAGCTGTACCACAATTGTTGAGAAAGAGCTAAAGCTCCAATATGACCAGCGGCTCTGCTCACCTTTGGCTCCAGTGTCAGCTTTCTGTTGATGTGGTTGAGGGCATAGGGCTCCTGGTGTTTGAGCACTCTCTGTGATGGAGCATTGCTCTCCAGCTCTGTCAGGGGGTAGACGATCTGGCGGCGGGCATGGACAGGCACTAGGTTGTTGAGACAGCCCACCAGGGAGTGTTTGTCCACTATCTGAGGTGAAATACATCTGGGATTCACCATCACTCAAATAAAATGTGTCAGTGGGCTGGCTAAGTGCTGCATTGTACTTCCGATATCTTACAGCGTGTAGCTTAATGTTCAGTTGTAGAAAAACAAACATTAATCAGGGTGTTGTAGACATCTACCAGTTAGGGTAAACCCACAAGCACATGATTAGGGTGTAATCTGGGATTTAAACCTATGATCATCGGATCCTGGGACAGCTAAGGAAAGCAACTCTGAACAGATACTTGTCCCCTTAGATGTGTGCCAGCAGTGAGCTTTTTTGTAATGAGCTAGATTGCTAACTCAATACACAATGCAACTGTACTTAAAATACAAAATAATTAAAATAAAATGTAAATAGAAGAATAGGTGAGGTTAGTAACATATGAGCTGCATCAATATCCTTTATATTCCAAGGCCCACTTGCACAAAGTGGTAATAGTGCTATGACTATCCTAAGTCTATGGTAAAGTATGAGAGTTACAAGTGTCGTAGCGCTAAGATCACTTTGTGCAAGTAAACAAGGTAAACCAATGGCTGAATGTGTTGATACATAAATCACACAAGCCAAGAGTCAGCCTTTCTAAGTGGTCGAAAGTCAAAGTACCGGTACAAGTTTGTTTCATTTATATTTTCCTTTGTGTACTGCCACGAAGTGTTCATTACACTGTCACTGTAACAGCTCCCATGCATTAACATAGACTTACAATCTTTGTTTGTTTTACACTGCAGTCTGCAATAAATCAGCTGTAAAAGATGACCTGTTAATAATACAATCTAGACCAGACAAACCAGTGATTGACATAATGAGTGAGTGGGTGAGTACAGCTTTACTCCGCTTTTAGCAATATTCTAGCAATATCACGTCGAAGACTGACATAATGAGCAACGTCCCATGCCTTTAGGGTATGATGACACACAGCCAACCAAGTCTCCGAACCTGACAAGTTACCCATCAATTAAGTTGCCCCTCACAACAAGCCTTGCAGGGAATCTCTTTTAACCCACAATAGCCAGGGGCAACTATTTGGGCATGGCTGCTTGCGGTAGTGATTGTGAAAGATTGCTTGTGTTGCAACCAAATCCCAATCATCATTTAAGATAAGCAGGAGGAGCATCAGTGTAGAGTTGCCACGGTTACCCACCTCTTTCTTGGTGTAGGGGGGATACAAAGGATAGTACAAGCAAGTCTTGTGGCCCAGTCGGAGAACTTCCTGCAACAGAAGGGGGTACACAAATATACACCAAGACCTTACATCAGACCAATATATTTACTGTTTTAAAAGGATAAAGTTTGCCCTTAACAGTCTTCAATTGTTGCCACTATTCCAAAGCCGGGGTAAACACCTTTTGGTCTAGTAAGCATAGTGGCTTAGTCTCAAAGAGTCCATGTATTTAACACTAACTGCTACTCGAAATAATGTCAAGTGACAAGTTTGGGCTGGTAGAATCAAAAGTATTTGGTACAGACTGCTTACTATAGTACTCAAAGAAGTTCAAGAACACATGTGATGATATAACAGATTAATTTAGTCACATGAAAAAATCTCCTGTTTTTTAACTTCTTTTGAGTGGTATAATGTCACTTGATGGAAAGCATAAAAAAAGTGAACCCATACCTTAAGGAAATGTTTGGAGAGATGGTTAAAGATGGGGTTGAGAGCAAAGTGATGTAAGTGTGCATGATCCTGACGGCGATGATGGTTGTAGTAGATGAAGTCCTCTATGTTGTAGTGGGAGCGGATGTACTCAATGTCCTGGGGGAGAGAGGGATGACACGTTATGAAACATTCATGTCAATGTACATTAGTGTACAAATTGTTAAGAATGAAATTCAGCTGACATTTGTCTTATTTGTAATACTGTGAAGAATAAAGGGAGATAACTCTGTTAACATTGTCAGACAGTAATAAGTGTTTCAAGAGAAGAATTAACTTTGTGTTAAAATGGATAGCTTATGATCATAATTAACTTCTGACCATTAAATGGCAGAGATAATACATTAATGAAATCCAGTAAGACAATATCATGCCATGACAATATTGCTATGACAATTGCCACATATCAGTAACAGTAATAGTAACAGTAGTTCGGTTATATCACGGGTTGTCAGCTTGATGGAGGAGGATTGAAAAGCCTGAAATGATGCAGGTCACAGACATGTACTGCTTTGGTGAAACCCATCAGCATTTGTCTGGTACTGAGTGCAAGGACACTATCAGGGGGATTCTGGGATTCAACCCCCAAACAAAGAATCCTGACAGGGACTAGAATAAAGTATTTACCTCCTCTCTTCTGACGATGGCCACGCCCACAATCTGATCCTGGCTTTCTGCCACAAATGCTTGAATCTCTGTGCCAGACTGAAACAAACATGACAGAAATATTAGTACATAATCATTTCAAAAACTTCAGTAATTGATTAGTTATTTGTTTCTGCTTGTTCTCAGGGATGACTAAATGCAATTAACTTCTTAAATATTAATCAAGCGACAGAGCTGTATTCATGTGACCAAGGCTGAACACAGCCTCTTGATAGGCACTGAACACTCTTCCCTTTGTTGTAGGTGGGCTACGATGCAACATGCCGTCAATCAATTCAGCCAAGTCAGGTCACCTGATCTTCAGGAGGCTCAGTATTAGGCCAGACACAAAGTATTATTTACAACCATGTGGGGATTCAAACCTGGACCCCAAGTAGTACCATACAATGCAGTATCAACATCATACTACTCCAAGTATTAAATCAGGTCCTCCGGAGTCACTTATTAAATCATCATCATCATCCTACTACTACTGCTGCTGCTGCTGCTGCTGCTGCTGCTGCTGCTACTACTACTACTACTACTACACTGCTAGTATGGTAAATGCAGTCTATGATAAGACAGTAGGCATGCTGACCTCATCTCTGCGAGCCATGTTGAATTGCTTCAGGTCCTTCAGGAGGTTGTCGTGGAGGTCCACAGTCTGAACCAGCATGTCGACGCCCCTCACGTCACTGCTGCAGGCTACACGTACATGGAAATCTCTGTAACAGTTGGGATCGAAAATTCATAAGAATACTGAAACATGATATAACTTGATGCAATTCGTAAAATTCAATATCTGTCAAGACACCACACACACACTATTATATCTCAATTACTTTGGTAATCTCCCAAATGCTTGACCATAGTTTTCTGGGCTCTCTAAGTGATGTCCCATTGTACTGCGCAAGAAGTAGCAAAGTTATGTTTCCAGTGAATACTACAATCCATTACTGACAAATCATTAGGAACTCATTTACAATTATATTTCATACTTTCAAAAGTATTGTTGTCTACAATTTACTGTGTTAAAGATTAAATAGGCTGTTGGTGAACTTAAGAATTGACTTAAATATGTTTTTGCATTTAAAGAGGTGCGAAAGTAAAAACTGGTGCGCACACTTTGCGTACATACTAGTAGTGGGCACACAATTTGTACATGCATTTACACAGTGTGCACACTGATTTTAACAATTATACCTCCATAAAAACAAAAGAATGCGTTGATCTATGATGAATATGCTGCAGTAGGATACACTTACTTGAGGAGCCCTGATCTGTGGAACACATACAGCTCCTGAGGGAGTGTGCTGCTGGACCTTGGGGTCACTCGCTGAAACAGACCTCATATATCATATATTATCGTCAGAACATGTACATATGTAAAATAACAAGTTCACAATTAAAGGGTACTTTCTTGTACAAAAAAAATTATTTTTTGAGTGGAAATAAACTGCTGTCCCACAGGGAATAAGTGATGGAGTGATTTTTAATTCAGTGATCTGACTGTTTCCTATTCATTACTTCATTACTAGGCCTTGTGGCTTCAGAGGAGACGTTTAACATTTATGTACGTTTACATCACATTAGTTCACAGGGACTTTCAGTTCAGGTCTGCTAAAAGCACATTGAGTGAGTGAGTGAGTGAGTATGGCTTTACGCCGCTTTTAGCAATATTCCAGCAATATCACGGCTGGGGACACCAGAAATGGGCTTCACACATTGTACCCATGTGGGGAATTGAACCTGGGCCTTTGGCGTGATGAGGTGAACGCTTTAACCACGAGGCTACCCGAGCGCCCCAAAAGCACATTGAACAAGAGAACTAAAATTTCAATGATTAGACAAGGTACCAAATCACAAAACATTCAATGTATAAAACAATATGCAGAATAATACACAAATATTCCATTTACAAACAGATTAACTATTACTATTGATGTAAGCACTGGTACTGGTCAAGCTTGGTACTGAAGACAACTATCAATATTTTAACTTGTACTGCCATCAGAGAGGCATAGATAGTTTGAATAATTATCACATCCCTATAATCCTGTCAACCGACAGATCTGGGAGGTTGCATTAAGCAATGATTTGTTTGTTTGTTTGTTGTTTAACGCCGCACTCAGCAATATTCCAGCTATATGACCGCGGTCTGTAAAATAATCGAGTCTGGACAAGACAATCCAGTGATTGAAATCATGAGCATCGATCTACGCAATTGGGATCGATGACATGTATCAACCAAGTCAGCAAGCCTGACCACCCGATCCCGTTAGTCGCCTTTTACGACAAGCATAGTCGCCTTTTACGGTAAGTATGGGTTGCTGAAGACCTATTCTGCCCCGGAATCTTCACGGGTCCCTTAGGCAATGACACTGTTAGGACGGTGTGCTGTACATACCACAAAGCCCTGCAGTAGAGGGAACTCCGGGACCAGATGGGGAACAGTGATGATGCAGAAGTCCATTGTGGGGAACAAGGAGAATGCCTTAGCAAGGAAATCGAAAGATCTGGAACAGGAGACATGTGATGTACGGAAAGAAGTATTCACCGTAAATTGTGAATACAAAACTTTGATACAAATAAAGTGATGAAAACATTCCTCATCTTTTATCATAGACTTCCTCTTTGAAAGTGAGTGAGTGAATTGGGTTTTATCCACCTTGTAGCAATATTACACCATATTATGTGGGGACGTCTTGGATCACCTTCAGACATGTTGCCCATGCATAGATCAAGATGAGAGGATGCTGAGGTGCACACTCTCCTTATGAATCATACAAATCACTTGGACATTTCCATGGGCCTTTTATAGGTGATGAGGTATTAAGTGTATTTGCATTTATCTTGCATTTATTGTATGTCTAGCCTGTTACCACAAACTGCACCCCATCTATAACACAGTTTTGTATACACATTTGCTGACTTTATATAACCCTCAGATTTCTTAAGGAAACCTTATTATGTCTACATAAGCTATCACACTTAGTTAGGGTATGTTTGTTTGTTGTTTCACGACAGACTCGGCAATATTCAAGCTAAATGACAGCAGCCTCTAAATAATCAAGTCTGGACCAGACAATACAGTGATCGATATCATGAGCAACGGCCCATGTCATCGGCGAATGATGACACACAAACAACCAATTACCATGGGTGACATAAGGAATGTAATGTGCAGTGTGGGTACCAGAAGTGGGTACCAGGAATGACATGCTTTATACTGTTAAAGTGGTACAAGGCGAAGAGCAGGCACTTGATAGGATGAATCTTGTGTTAGCTTTCATCCAGAATCCCCAAAGTAGGCACATTTAACCCAGCAAAACTTTGACAAGGAAACTCACCTCATTTCAAACCTTTCATCTATACAAAACAGCTGAACGGAGAAAGCATTCTCCGAGCCCTTGTAAGTTGGGATGAAGTGTTTGGGGGGTGCATTCAGTTGAGCTTGTGGGGTGCCACGAACTGAGTCTCGAGACTGGAAAAGGACATTAAATATTAGAGCAATGCATTCATAGTGGCAGGTAGTCTGTCATACGCACCTTCAATACAATATATCCAATACAGGCCATGCAAGTCTATAATAACAAGTATTTGTCACAAAGTGACGAAATGTCCCCCCCCTGTATATACACCATAGTACCAAATATGAAGACAATCCAGCGATTAGTTCTTGAGATATTGCGGCAACACCGTTTTCCAACTCCAAAAACAGATTTGCCTGCTGTGACCTTGAAAATGGGGTCAAGGTCACCAAAACCGACTGGTGTATGCGGTGTCTGTATATACACCATAGTTCCAAATATGAAGACAATCCAGCGATTAGTTCTTGAGATATCGTGGCAACACCGTTTTCTAACTCCAAAAGCAGATTTGCCTGCTGTGACCTTGAAAATGGGGTCAAGGTCACCAAAACCAACTTGTGTCTGCGGAGTCTGTATATACACCATAGTTCCAAATATGGAAACAATCCAGTGTTTAGTTCTTGAGATATCGCTGCAACACCGTTTTCCAACTCCAAAAGCAGATTTGCCTGCTGTGACCTTGAAAATGGGGTCAAGGTCACCAAAACCGACTGGTGTCTGCGGTGTCTGTATATACACCATTGTTCCAAATATGAAGACAATCCAGTGTTTAGTTCTTGAGATATCGCGGCAACACCGTTTTCTAACTCCAAAAGCAGATTTGCCTGCTGTGACCTTGAAAATGGGATCAAGGTCACTAAAACCGACTGGTGTCTGCGGAGTCTGTATATACACCATAGTTCCAAATATGAAGACAATCCAGTGTTTAGTTCTTGAGATATCGCGGCAACACCGTTTTCCAACTCCAAAAGCAGATTTGCCTGCTGTGACCTTGAAAATGGGGTCAAGGTCACCAAAACCGACAGGTGTCTGCGGAATGTGTATATACACCGTAGTTCCAAATATGAAGACAATCCAGTGTTTAGTTCTTGAGATATCGCGGCAACAAACAGGTGGGACGTACGGAAGGACGTACGGACGGACGTACGGACGGTCGTGAATACTATATCCCCCGCTTCGCGCGGCGGGGGACAATAAAGTAGACACAATTTATGGATGACAACTTCTTTAATACTGTAAAGGTGAGGTTTCAGTATAGATCCTTATACTGTTGTGAAGCAAGACATGGATAACAACTTCTTTAATACTGTAAAGGCGAGGTTTCAGTATAGATCCTTATACCCTTGTCAAGTAAGGCAGTATTAAAGGTTGCCTTACAGTATTAAAGAAGTTGTTATCCATAAATTATGTCTACTTTGTCATCTGTCAACTTCTCAGAAATTCCTTTCAAGTCTATACTAGTTGGCAATTCTTGATGACAGCAGTTTCAGGAAAAGAGTATCTGGGCTCCTTTTATCATAACTTGTAAAGATAATTTAACAACTGTTTTTCTGGAAAAAGACTTTGGTTTCAGGGAAGAGACTTTAGTCTAAGCTGCAGGTAAATGAAGTTGATTACAGAAGTCACTTGCAAGGCTTGCTGTCTGCACAAGACAGTGCTATTGATGATTTTTCAAAAGGACAAGGTATTATGTAGGTCTTCTTGTAGCACTTGAACTGACAAACGTTAGTAATATGGGAAACCTTCTGATTTTGCTAAGAAACTTATCATTAGAGTTCATATCATACAGAACTGGCATGCTATCTTTAACACAGCCTTCAGACTTTGAGAGCCACAAACTGTAAAACATGTCTGGAATGGGTCTAAACAGCTGATAAGAAGATCTTGCTTTTCAGGAAGTGATTTTGTAACATTGGAACATAAGCAAGTCTTTGATGTAGGGTGATGTTCTGAGGAGAATTGCTTTGGTCATAGGCTTGCTCATGGTAAGAATTTGTTCTGAGGTTTCTGCCCCTTCCACTCACTTTATCTATATGTCTGTATTTTTTGGTCATGGTTTGACTTCAATAGAGGCCAGTCAAGGGATAGAAGGAAATTGTCAAAATTTAGAAATCCTCGATTCTGGTGTGGAAACGATCCTAGAACAAAGTTTCCAGCTTTAAAAAACACCTCACCCAAACACATCCCACTCAGCACCATGGTCACGACCCGTGAAGATCCGGGGTAGAATAGGTCTTCAATAACCCATGCTTGCCGCAAACGGCGACTTTGCTTGTCGTAAGAGGCAACTAACAGGATCGGGTGGTCAGGCACGCTGACTTGGTTGATGCATGTCATCGATCCCAATTGCATGGATCGATGCTCATGATATTAATCACTGGATTGTCTGGTCAAGACTCGATTATTTACAGACCGCCGTCATATAGCTGGAATATTGCTGAGTGATACCAACAAACCAACAAACCATGATCACCACCTAACAAATAGGTCATGACCTGACCCTGACATTCACCTGACATTCCCTGCACCCTCATTCTCTTTCTGGAGTGTACAGGCTGGTGTAACTGTGATTGGGGATGGTAGGGTGGGCGTTTAGCATGTGAGATAGGATAAGTATATAAATATACAATTTATTGTAATACTTTCAAATATTTAAACTTATCCTATCTCACATGATGTATTTATCCCACGGTTGGATGTCGGGGCGGAGATACCCTACGTTGTAAAAGGACCTCTACTGTGAGATGTACACAAGGAAGCCAACATGATCTCAGGTAAATCATGTGATCTGTGATTTCAGACAGGACGCAGCTTAGAACTAGGGGAAACTTATTCTGCCACTACTTTAACCTACCCCAGGAGAGGAGTGCTCAAGGTCACAAGGCTGATCAGATTGGCATCTCTTTTTTCGTAATCGGAAACTTAATTACTGATCCACATGATGATACGAGTGAATTAAAGCCTGGAGTTTAGCGATTTCGGAAACCTTGGACCCCGTGGTTGTGGGATGAGTTGATAGCAGCCAAGTAGGTAGCTAATATGGATCCCTTCAGTTTCTTAGTGGATCGTAATTGTTGAAGATATTCAGCAATCTGGAGAGGAAATATCCTGAGCTGTGCAGCTCTACGAGCCATCCTCTATGAATAACCCTTAGTTCTTCTAAGAGACTTCTGGAGATGTGCCAGATGCAAAGATGAAGTGTGTCCAGAGATGGGTGCAGCTGGTTTGAGTGGGAATGGAGAAGAGGATGGCATCTTTACAACATTTACAAGTGCAGCGAACCAACTTCTCGCCAGAAGTGTGTGACCAAAAGAAGAAAAGGCTTTTGGTGTCCATGACCATCTGCAGGACTCGAGGGAGGATGCTCGGAGAAGATCTGCCCAATGTGGGCTGGCAGGTCAGTATGCCTGTTTAAATTGAGAGGGAGGCTCTGATGAGCAGAGCTAGGTAGAAACATTGTCCGAAGCAATTAGCCAATAAGCGATCTCCGGCATCAGGCATGGGGGAGGAAAGACGACTTTCTGACGATGGTCTTGTCATAACTTTTCGTAACTCGTCGAAATCGTCAGTCGACAGTGGGATAACAGTAGTAGAAGAATCTATGATCCCTCATGCATTGGGCGTGGTTGTAAAACTGGTGGGAAGATCGTCTGTAAGTAAGGAATCCGAAAGTACATCTTCCCCAATAGATAAAGTTTAGGGGACTTTAGGGGCGCTGAAGTAGATTTCTTGATATCGGTGATAACTGTGTGTTCAGGTTTCATGGTGGATGGGCCATGTTCAGCCTCGTTCAATGAAGCCTTGGAGTGATGATCGACAGTACGTTTCTTGCACTTTCGGATATAAACTTTACAGTCTGTCTTGTTAAGATGGCATCATTGCTGACAACGGTCAGTGAGAGTACACAATCCATGGCGGTCGCAACAAACTGGGTCATAAGGAGAGTAAATATGCTTGCATTCTCTGCAAGATTGGCGTAACGGCTCCATAACGCATGTAAAATGTGTGTTGCTGTTGTAAATACGGAGACAGTTTCAAGTTCAAGAACGTCCTCACACTTGAGCATTGAGAAAGAGAATGAGGGTGCAGGTAATGTCAGGTGATCAGATCGCTAGGGATTGCAGTGGTGCATGACCTATTTCTTAAGTGGTGACCATGGTGATGAATGGGATGTGTTTTGGTGAGGCGTTTTTAAAGCTGGAAACTTTGCTCTAGGATTGTTTCAACACCAGGATTGAGAATGAAGGATGAATACGTAGTGTAAGGTGGGATAAGTTTAAAATTTTCATTCACTACACATTAAGGATATGATTACTTTGGGTTTTCTGGATCACATATGAATGAACTGTATGAATAAACAAACGTATACGTCCCAGTCAAACTTGTCTAAACAAGTATGTGTTTAAAACATTTCAGAGGTGGAAAATATTTTAAAAAGTGGTGTGACAAAATGCATTTGAGCTCACCCCAACGTTCCTCTGAGTGCCCTGTGTAGGGGGTGCAGACTGCTGCTGTTCCAACACTTCTGGAGCCACGGACAATTCACTGGATTCACTGAGAAGAGAACTGCAGCTGCCATTCATCTGTGCATCGGTGAGTCGTGGCCTGACCTTTACCTCTCCACTTACACTACCTGATAAAGGTCAGATAAGAACAAAGGTCAAGGTTACTGGGTTAAAACCAGCATAAAGTTGTGGGTCAGTGAATTATAATTTACGATTTCATTATTACGGCATGAAACTCACAATGTAGACTACACATTATGTTCCCAGTACCTTTCGCACTCTTGGCGCTTGACTGGCGACTTCCAGCAGTCTTTGGTTCAGTTTCAGTCTTGGCTGTTCCAACTTTTTCTGTGCCTCCCTCACCTGCTGTTCCAAATTCTTCTTTTATCCCTTCTTCAAACTGACCTACATGTTCGATTTCAATGCTCCGACGGGAGTCAAAAGACGACGTTGAGAGTTGAGATGTACGGCCATTCTCAACTGATTCTTCTTAGAAAGATAATAAAAAGATCATATTAGAAACTCTGTTAATTTAAGTAACAACATTTAAACACCATAAAAGCATGTTCAAAAATATTTTTAAAAAGTTTCTCTCAAATTGCTTCTGCAATGGAACTAAAGTGAAGTGTCAAGAAAACTCTAAGGAACAAGTGTAGAATTTAGAATTAGGCTGTAACAACTGACCATTCTCTATATCAAAATTTGCAATATCAAAAATCAACTGTCTTTTCATAAAAGGTAAAAACAGAACTGACTTAAAAGGATATACATTTTACTTATTCTTACACACAGACTATCATGAGTAAAACCTACTAGATCAAGTGGAATTTTACAAGACTCAAGCTTTGGACTACTTGAGAAATAAGTGATGAGTGGGAGTTGTTTATCGTACAATAAAACACTGCAGGGATAATAAACCATGAGGGGCCCACGAGTCGTTTATTTCTTATATGAGATATCAACATTATGTACTGCCTCTTTGGGATGTTGATAAAATGTGCAAGCTTTAAAACTATTTACCCAACTTTTAAAAACATTGACTCCTGGAATAGAATCCTACCTCAGAGTGTTGGACAAGTGGGTTAAGTTTGGCATTTCCCGCACATACTCACAATCTACACATCGATTATCTGCACCTTTTCTCCTAATACCAAATTGCATATCTCTCCCACTTTTGGATGAGATTATTTGGCCACTGCATTTATCTGTGTTGCCCAGCTTCATCTCAGGGGTACAACTCTCTACCCTCTCAAACATAATTTTTTAATGTTGTCCAACTCTCGACATTATCACGTTGCGAGCGTATGTTCAAATCTTAATGTTTTATCGTGAAATATCCACATCCAAAACATCCAAAAGTGTGTGAAATATGGCAATGAGTATTGTGAGAAGAGGTACAGATAATCGACGTGAGAATTGTAAAAATATTCCAGGAATACCAAAGATAACCCCCCTGTTCATAAAATGTATTGGCATTAAATGTTTATTCAGACAATGGTTGCCCTAAATTGGTTGCAATGACAGTTCCTCCAGCAGATGCTGCTTCAAGTCTACCTCTGTGAATTACCTTTCTTAGGGGTTGGTGAAGGTGTGGGTGTTTTAGGCGGTACCACCTCGTCATCAGGGTGGGGGTGGCGGAGGCCATGGAAGGGTCCCAGTTCAAAACAGTTGTTCAGTAGGTCATAGTTGACATCATCGCTGATACTCATAAAGCCTTGAGCGGTTCCTTCCACCTGGAGCAGGCAGGGTCAAGTGGTTACTGGCATCGCATGGTGTGTTCATCAAAACATATCAGAAGGCGGAAACAATCAGAATTGGAATGTGTGGAATAGTATGTGTGTGTGCATGCATGCGTGTGTCTGTGTGGTGAGTGGTGTGTGTGTGGTGTGTGTGTGTGTGTGTGTGTGTGTGTGTGTATATATTTGAGTGAGTGAGTGAGTGAGTGAGTGAGTGAGTGAGTGAGTGAGTGAGTGAGTGAGTGAGAGGGTGGGTCTGGGTCTCTTAAATTGTGTCTGCATTGTGATCCGTCTAATGATGCCTAACATACAATAGATTTGAAAATGATATGTCCCCTATGTGAGCAGTTACCTACCTCTGCAACCAGGCACTGCATGTTGTCATTCTGAGCTTCAATGAGCTCTGCCAGGAAGTAGTCCCCATATGTCATTTTCAGCATGTCGCTGTGCCGGTTGAAGATGGGGGTCAAATCATCATGATCCTCAACTCTGGAAGGATATGAGGATGCTTAGGACACCTTGACTCACCTCACCTGATTGTGACTTTCAGAATGATTGGAGACTGTGTGGTATAACAATTCCCTTGGAGACAACATGGCATACATTTGTCACACATATTCCAGCATAATGCCAGGACCAGTTATAGTGTTAAAAACATTGAAAGAAGGAAAACTGAAAACTGGAAGGAAAACTGGAAATCACTAAAACAAGAACTAAACATTACACAAATACTTACTCTTGACGAGGTAAATATGCAGAAACAAGGACCCTCAGACCACCTTAATGGTCAGGTCCTCGGGTCCTTGTAATCATTTGTTATTTTATACCGAAATTGACTTTTAAGTTTAAAATGTCTTTAAACCGTCCTCTGTTTCATTACAGTAACTTAGCTACGAACCATAAAATTATTAGTACCAGACGACATTTTGGTTTCTAGCAGACAAGTCAATATTCCTCACGTGACATGTCAGTATAGTGATCAGGTGATAAATCAATATTCGAGGTCAGTGTCAGTCACATGATTTTGGGGTCTACATTGAAATGTATTGTTTCGTCATGTGGTATGGATTAACCAATGGAATAGCAAGATTCTTAATAAAGGTATAATGATATTATATGCTATGTCCTGTATGTCTACCCTGTGTAAACAAGATGGCTGCAGAAATGTCTGACCTGGCATGTCTGATGTGCAACACGGGGACATGGTCGTGACGATGACACACGAACATGACACAGTTGTTGGGGCCAGCCATCACGCCCTCCTTCTTTTCCAGAGGTTTAAACACATCAGCAACAGCTGCATCTACAAACATAATGTTGCCAGTGTCACAATTACCTAACCATATAACATATTTTATGTCTGTTATTTCGAAAATTAAAAAATTTGTACCAATACTTGCAATTAGAAATGTTCATGCAGAGACTATATATCGGCATGTAGTCTCTGGTTCATGTGACAATTATGCAAATGTTGAAGGGACGCTAATGTTCAAAGTTAGAATATCTGGGGTCCCTCAGTTAAATTGCTATAGGAGCAAACCTCAAGTACCCCTGGATCCCCTTTAATTTTGGAATCTTCTAACTTTTATCCACATACAACATATAAAATTCTAAATTTCTAAAAAGAAGCCAAAAAATAAGCTATGTTTTCAGAAAATACTTTTCAAAATTAAATTGTCTAGGACTGGCAGAAAGACCCTTTTCAAAACATTGTTTGTTGGTTTGTTGTTTAACACCACAGTCAGCAACATTCCAGTTATATAACGGTGGTCTGTAAATAATCGAGTCTGGACCAGACAATCCAGTGACTGACACCATGAGCATCTATCTATGCAACTGGCCTCTCCACAAGCATGGGTTGTTGAAATCAATTCTAACTCGGATCTTCAGGGGTTTTCACAACATTGATTCACATGACAAGGATCACTTTTATGTTCAAACAACTTAAGCCATGACTTCTTTCGCTTTCCCAAGTAGCCATGGTGGCTTTTCAGAAAGTGATTGTATCTCTACAACAAATTTAACCCTGTTAAACTATCATAAGGAGGGCTATTATCACTATGAGAATCAGGGCCCCGGATGCTCATCAACACAAACTACACTGTTCATGGAGTAACAGCAGATATGAACACTGGCGATGGCAGGGGCAGATCCAGGATTTAAAAAAAGTGAGTTTCCACTTGGGCCATTTGTGATTTCAGTTGGCGGGGATGGGGGAACTGTATGTAAACCATTATTAATTTTACTTTACCAACCAAATCAACATGTTATCGTTGAAGGTAATGTGCATACAAAATGTCATCATGTGTAAATAAAAAAAGGTGGTGGGAGGTTTGGGTGGTTAAGGGGCAGCCCTACAGTGCCACCACTGGATGGGAGTAGTGGTATCATTTCTTTTTCCTCCAGAATACCAACCTGGGTAAACACCATGAGGCACCACCAGAAACAGGAAGTGTAGATCTGGAACTGCATTGAACGCTGTACGAATAATCTCCTCAGCACATCCATGAGCATACTCGTTCTTGGAAACAAAGTAATGCATGAACAGTGTGTTGAGTGCATTGCATTTGCTGGTGTAATAGAACTTGCTCATCCAGGCTTCCCACTCTGCCTCATCCACGTCTGGGAGATTGGGAAAGTCGAAGAAGGCTGCATGTCCCAGGATCTCCTCGCTGGCATTGCTCAGTGTGACAGCAAGGATAGCTTTTTCACTGGAAACATGGAGACAATAGATAGTGAATGCTGTATGAATGGCCAAGATATAGATCAATATTAATCAAACAGGGCTAGCAGTGATTTGCAGTCATTACTCTTAGAGGCATTTTCTAGGATCCATACTGAAAATTCAATTTATTAGGGATTTGAGCACACCAGGACTTGACCCAATGCAAGAGGGACAATCGTCGGAAGGGGGATAACTCTAGTGTTTTTTACTATATATAGGTCATACACAAATTCCAATCATTTTCACATAAAATGAGTAATGTTTATAGTTGTATTCTAGTTCAAATTAATCCAAAAATTAATATCTGAGTTCCATTGCATAGACATTTCCCAAATAAAAATCCAAATGGTTAATTGCTAAGTTGGGCAACAAAATACAATAAAGAAATACATTTGCATTGAAAAGAGATAAACAAAAGCAAATCCAAATGAAATAAATCAAAATTATCATAAATGTGTATCTCTTATTGTGATTTGTAATATCATAATGGCTATGGTTGGTTCTTCAATCCATCAACAGAGAACCTTTGTTAACTCAAAGTCATTGGGACCACATTGAGTCATCCAGAGACTGAGACAAATGGATGCTGATGCTTATAATATAACTCATGCTTACATGCTTCAGGTATGAAATGCCCCAAACCAAAACATTGACTCCTTTTCCAAAGTCAACTTAAGCTTAGCAGGGGCGAAATGATAAAGAAGTAGGATTCTGTCCGGACCATGAAGTTACATAGTCTCAAACCACATATGTTGTTATCAAATTTTTTGTTAACAAAGTTTCATTGTACTTCACTGATGATGAAGACCATGAATCCTACATCCTACATGAAAATCAAAGATGACCTGATATATTTAGATATGATGTATATATATCTCTATGGCACTCTTTTTTACTTTTTCTTCCTTCCCCTCTCTCTATCATGCCCATTACCCCAGTAGCCTCGTGGGTTCATAAGGGCCTATTATAAAATAATTGCCTTTCTGTATGTAAATTAACAAAATAAAATTTTAAAAAAATACATTTGACTAGGGATGTCACAATTCACTGATGTATCAATCAATGCAAATTTACACCTGACAATGCAATACACATCATATGTATTATTTGCATGAGTTTATTTGTAAGAGTTCAACATACATAATATTCACAATGTTGACTCGTCCAAACAGTGCCTCTGTAGACTTTGTTGCCAGGCTGACGATGTGTGGGGCATCAATTGACTCTGTGCGCCGGGCATTGATGACCTCATCGGATCCATCGGGGCTAGCAACTTTGGACATGTTGATCACTAAATACTTTAACCTGTAAACAAGGAAAATTACTAAAAAAGTAAATACAACTTATTTCTCTTGTTCTGAATGTACATAGAAACCCCTGAATGTGGACAGTACTATTTGCAGTGAATTCATCCAGATTAACAAATGTCAGGATGAATGAGCCATGGATATGAAGTACACAATGTTCGTTCAACTCAATGGAAATGTTTACAACAGTCATCGTCCAGAAAGTGAGAATCCTCAGACATTCAGGATCTAATGACATTTAACAGTAAGATCAACCTTTATGCAAAAACTTTCAACTTGGGGATTTCCCTACATGTCTCTTTGGGGAGCACCTTTAGAATACAGTACCACAACTTCTCGTGAGGACGATCTCTGCCGTAGGTCACATGTATCAAGGCAAGCAACCAGTTTTTGTGAGAATCCGTCGGACGCGAACCCGTGACCTTCGGATTGTTAGCCCGACAGCTAACGACTGAGCTACGTCCACACTGTTAAACTTAGTGCAAATTTACCTAGTCATGCCTATGACGTTACGGAACTGAACGAAAAGGGTCGAATAGGTGACGGACACTTACGAAGGTTACGGGTAGGCATGGTGTCTCGTGACTTTAGTCTACGGACACGTACGAATGATCCTGATGCCATTTGGCACACTCGTCCCATTCCGTAATGTACAAGATACCGAGTGGAGAGGAATGAGCAGATATGCCGCGAACTGAAAACTGCTCCAGGCGTCAGACGTCGAATTCGTGAGTACGCATGAATGATATGGTATGTAATAATTCGTCGGGTGATTGTTGTGACAGAAAAGAGTGGTTGGGAACACGGTAAGGATGATGTGGATAAAAGTAAGGAACGAGGGAGGAATAAGCATGACTATTGATGACACAACGGTGAGTTCGCTTTTGAATCAGTACTGAAAAAATGTAGCCGGTGAAAGTGGCTTGTGTGAATGTTCCAGGACAGTTTCCAGTTGCCAAAATATTTGACACAAAACCATTTCATCCTTTTTACTCGACGAATTTGTGTGAAGAATATTAGGAGCCGTTATATAATCTATAATAGCCACTAAACGAGTACCTAACCCTAATGATCGTAAAGGGGTGATTGATCGTAAAGGGGATCCAAGGGCTAAGGATAGACTTCGGGTAATCTCATAGCCACTAAACGAGTACCTATCCCTAATGATTGCAAAGGGGTGATTTATTGTAAAGGGGATCCAAGGACTAAGGATAGAGTTCGGGGTAACCTACCCTAACACTGGCGACATTTGGATGTGTCCAGCGCCAATATAATATCCCTAATAAACTGCATTCTTGTGCATAATAATGAAAATTAATGAACCGAAAAAATAATATATGAATATTGGTTCCCATTTATAACCATTTTATCCACTTGAATTACAAGAAAAACGAAATAAAAATATATAAAAAATAAAAGTGTTTTCGTAAACTAGCGCTTGCTCTAAAATGCGCCGCCACAGGCTATAATCAGTAAACAAATCCTCAAAACTCTCAACACCGCAGGGCGTATTCAATGACATTGCGTGTAGAGATGATAGCTCACTGGGAGGAGCTTGTGCACACTCGATGACCCCTGACTTCACAGGGCATTGTTTCGCCAGTGTGACTTGCAACAAAATACTACAAATTACGTCATAGGGAATGATCACATGTTTGAAAAGTTTATGGTACTGTATTCTAAAGGTAGGCCCTCTTTGGTGAAGTGTGAATTTTGTGCAGTGGTTAGTAAGTGTCTGGTGCAAAACAGAATGCATGGTAACCACCTTCCTCTTTTCCATTGGACAGTTAGATTTTAAAAAGTACCGAAATTTTATACATATTACAGCAAAATACTCCCAATAAAGATGAGCGGACATCCCTAAATCAAGGGCGTTCAATTAGGCCTAACTTCTCTGAGAGTTATTTAGAAGTTGGAGTTGCCCTAAGTGAGGGTAAGATATATGGATGAACAACTTATTATTTAATTACATAATGATTATTATCAATGAAACATTAAAGGATGTGAAGAGTAACACTTAAGTTAGTACATCTTTATAATACTGACTTGTCATTACATTACTGAGAAAAATGCCTAGGCCTATATGTTTTGCATTTTCCACAAAAATCAATCAAGATTTGTTTGTTGATTATTTCACGATATTCATAATGGAATCTGCGTCTTAACTAATCAATCAATTTTCTCATGATGTTAAAAACATACCACTTACCCAAGAAGTTGCTGTTAGACCCAAATCAACCTGCTGCTATTACGAAGTTGACAGAAATAGTCAAAAGTTAGGCGGCCATGTTGAAACGGTAACCATGGAGCTAGAACTTCCGGTAGTAACGCACACACTTTAATTCTCACAACATAACACTTTTGAAATATTTTAACATGATATGCTTTTTTCTTAGCCTGCTACTTCGATAATATTACGAGGTTATAGTTTATAAATTTGTCGAGAAATAATATTTCAAGAAATGTGCGCGACTACTATTTCGTATGTACTACGCTTCCGGAAGCGTGTTTTGAAAAGGGACTTGAATCAGACAATTGAGATTAACTCATTTTGAGAGATTTTGTTTTCTTACATACATTTCCAGCAGAAAAAACAACAAACATGGAGACAACAAGCGACGGGAAGATGAAGATGCCTAAAGTTGCAAAGGTAAATCTCTTACAAAGAAAATTAAGTGAACAACACGACCAGAAAATTATTTTATTAAAATCTGCAGATCTCAATAAAGAATATAAAGTACACGTTTGGGAATAAAATACGGCCTAAACTAGATAAGCAGCAATTCCAATATACCTCAATGGACTCCATGCTCTAGCCAATACTGGCTGCCTGTGTCGCTTCTTATCCCATACCGACAAATGATGCTTAAGGTGTCGTTGTTGACCCGGGTACTACAGATATGTAGGCTATCCCAGGCATGTTACTGTATACAGAAATGTACCCTAACCAAAATCAGAATACAGAAAGGTACCCCAAACGGCTTTTGAGTCATATTCCTCAACCCGAAACAGGTTCAAGTTGTAGTCCTCGTTGGGCTGATGACAAGTGCATGCAGGATAATACTGTGCATCGTGGAATATTAGTGTTATGTACATACGTCACTGTTTGCTTATTTTTTATAAAGCAGACTGGAATGCATTCCATACAACAGGACCTGTGAAGATCCAGGGTAGAATAGGTCTTCAGCCACCCATGCTTGCCGTGAAACTAAGGCGACTATGCTTGTTGTATGAGGCAACTAACGGGATCGGGTGGTCAGACTTGCTGACTTGGTTGACGCATGTTATCGTTTTCAAATTGCGTGGAAAGATGTTCATGATGTCAATCACTGGATTGTCTGGTCCCGCCACTATTATTTACAGACCGCTGTCATATAGCTGGAGTATTGCTGAGTGCGGCATTAAACAACAAACAAACAAACCATACAAAAGTATGACAGTTCTGATTCTTTATAAGGAAATACCAAGAGAAAAATATACAACGTGTACTGCCTCAATACGGCCTGCGACGGAATGGACACATCCTATCCTACCTTTCTGTATTATGAGTTTGTTTAGGGAAACATATCTGTAGTACCTGTGCCAACGATGACCCCTTCAGCACAAATGACAGTGGTTATCATGGTTTTTTCAGCACATGTTCAGAATTTACTAATACATATTCAGCATGTTCAGTGTCCATATGTGTCAATACTTATTAATTGTTTTAAAGCTGCTTACTCTAACATCACTGAGCTATGAGTGTAATTATATATAGCCTACATTATAGCCAGAGATATGGTTTCTGTTATGGCTATCACCATCAAGGGTCCCGATAAGCTGCATATTTGCGTAAATTATGTATATATATGTATAAATCACCATTACTCCATGAAAACATGAAGAAACTGAATGGTATAACAACACTGTTGACCAAATTGACTGAACCTAACTGCCAAAAGCATTAAGGTATCGGTATGTCATGTATTTTGAATACAAAATGAAGACTGTCACTGCCCAATGGGGATGTTAACATGTGAGTAAATACGAAAATGGCTCAAAACGTAAAACATTTTCTCGAGCCTAAATCATAACAATCTGATCAATACAATTTGTTCATCAACGTTCATTTTTGTTCAATTTAGGTGAAGAACAAAATGCCTGCTCCAGTACAGATCACAGCAGAGCAGTTGCTGAGAGAGGCAAAGGAGAGGGAATTGGAGCTGGTGCCGCCGGTAAGTTGAGTCTTTATCATGTACAAACAGCTTGTGAGGCTGACCTGCTCCAGTTCTGGCTACACTGAATACAGATAGTAATGTGAATGGGTAAATGTGGTAGAGGTTTATCTATGCTATTTGAGAAACACATTTTGCTGCTGGTTATTTGGCGTACATTTGCCAGTGTTTGCATTACCATGTGAGAGTGACTTTTTTGTAGTTTGTTTTTTAAAGCTATTTTGAGTAACATGAAAAATATGAAAAAATGATGTTGATATGTCTGTCAGTGTCACTGAGTGGAAGTTTCAGTATTGATATATAAGGTTGTGATAATTCACAGAAAGATTGGTACTTTGTGATGCCCTCTATTCCAACATGGAAGTGTATCCATTATCATATCGCAACATTAGTATCTATATATGTATTGTATTGCAGAAAAACGTATGTCGTTATAGCCAGCCTGTTAAATGGTCTTGAAGGTTTTAATCATATTTCATTATTTCTGAGCTGAATTCTGCATCCTGATGGAGCAAATATTTTCAATGTGTGTCAATATTCCTAGGTATCCATATAGTTCTGAGCATGTTGACAGACATATTGAATTTCTTCTAACATTGACAGCCATGAGAAACTTACACTTCCCGTGTGTGATTTTCTTTTCCAGCCTCCCAAACAGAAGATATCTGACCCTGAGGAACTTGCTGATTATCGAATGAGGAAAAGAAAGGTAATGTTGAATATTAGTATCACAATGGCAACACTTCTGCAATTGGCTTCAGAGGCAACTAACAGGATCAGATGGTCAGACTCACTGACTTGATTGATGCATGTCATCATATCCCATTTGCGTAAATTGATGCTCATGATGTAATTCACTGGATTGTCTGGTCTAGACTTGATTTACAGACCGTCATATAGGTGGAACATTGCTGAGTGCGGCATTAAGGAACAAAGAAATGATTAGGCTTCATTGTTTTACAATTTGCTGAAAAAGAAGTTATCTCCCCTGTTGTACACTATCAGACCCAATAATTCATGAAGTACTGTTGTTGCCCCAGTCTACTACATTTACTGTTTGGTTTAACTTAACCCATTCTTGTTGTTGCCAATAGGGAAACTGTTATGTGTTGAGAATAATGCCTTTAAAGTTGATGAGAAAAGCATCAGAAACTTGGATTGACAGACTCTTCATTCAGTTTACTATTATCTCCCTTTTAATATCGGGCCATGGTAAGTAGCGTTGTTGTCTTCTAAGTGCTACCTCCTCTGTGTTAAACAGGCTTCAGAGGACAACATACGCAAGAACCGAAGTGTGATGACCAACTGGATTAAGTATGCTCAGTGGGAAGAAAGCCAGAAGGAACTTCAAAGGTAGGAAATGAAACTATTTTTAACTTCTGCTGCATTACATATTGCACAATTCTCTTACTACCGAAGTCCTAACAGGAAATGAATGAATGTATATACATACATGAATGTCTTCAGTAACTTTTTGCCCAACATGACCTCCATGATACTCGTGACGTCTGGTGTCCGAAGACATGCCCCCGTATGTCATTCTTCTCTTCTTCGCTAACTAAGCTGGACGTGTAAATCTGGACGCAAAATCTTCACTTGGTGAATGCGCAGCTGTTGACACCAACATCGTCCATGATTGGTTGACCTCTCATCTTCCAGATTATCTTGCAACGTACGAGCCAGAAAACATTTTCAATGCAGACAAAACTGGCCTGTTTTATAAACTGTCACCCCAGAGAACTCTTCATCTAATATCTGAGAAATGTAGTGGGGGGAAGAAATTGAAGGACAGAATAACTCTGTTGGTAGCAGCAAATATGACTGGCACAGAAAAACTTAAATTGCTTGTCATTGGAAAATCTCAGAAACCTCGGTGTTTTAAGAATGTGAGAAGCATGCCTGCTACTTACCGTGCCAACTCATAAGCTTGAATGACAGGTGAAATATTCACTGATTGGATTTGTGATCTTGATAAGAGCATGGCCAAACAAAAGCAACGAGGATTTATGTTTTGTCAGCAGGGTAGGTACTTGCTTACCTGCTGAAACACATTCCAGGAAATGCCCAACATAGATGGTGTAGGTCTTTGAAAGGCATTTAGAAGTGATACACATACGGAAGAGAATATATGGATGTCAACTTCTTTATTATGAGGAACGCAACATTACGGAGTATATGCTTACTCCTTCATCACCTGATGAAGGAGTAAGCATATACTCCAAAACATTGTGGTCACCTGATGAAGGAGTAACTCAGTAAGCATATACTCTGAAACGTGTTCCTAATAATAAAGAAGTTGACATCCATATTTTCTCTCCCGTATAGATGGTGTAAATTAAACCATGATTAACATTTTACTGAGGCTCAACAGTTATTAACAACCGATGTCATTTCATAAAGAACAAATCTTTTTCATGACGTTCAATGGTAGCTTATTATAGGTTCATGTGGTAGTTTTATTGTCTCTATAACGTTTTCAGTTAGAATATTAATTTGTTGTAAGTAAAGCCACTTGCATTAAAATGAAAAACAGAATTTGTGAAACGGAAGATCTCAACCTGTTCAAGTGGTTAATGATTTACAATCAAGGGTACAGCCAACTGCTCATCAACTGAAGACATTGTGATTGTTTGTGTGTTGTTCTATGATTGACATGATTGATGTTTTCAGAGCAAGATCAATCTGGGAGAGAGCTCTGGATGTTGACCACAGGAACATCACAGTCTGGCTGAAGTATGCAGAGATGGAAATGAGGTGTGTAGACCTACCGTGTATCACCAGCACAGGGTCAGAAACATGACCTTCCTTTCCATGTCACTGTCACGTTTATGAAGTATCATTTTGGAAGAACTAGAGGGAACCAGTGTCTGTAATAGTAGTCATCATTTTATCCTGTATTGTTTGTGTCCAGAGTGAGTGAGTTGGGTTTAACTACGACTTGAACAGTATTCCAGTTATATAACGGCGTTCCAGCTTAATCTGGGAGGAACGCCTGAAGTGATGTAGGTCTTCATTTTGGTGAAACACACGAGCATAAGTATGGTGCAGACAAATCTAGACACATAATCAGGGCAAACCACTATTCGAACCAACAATAATAGGTTTCTGGCTTCCCCATGGGATGCAACTCTACACAACGATTCGAGCACCTTAGACGACTTGGCCACCCTCCTGCACCAGTGGTCTCAGAGTTATGTAAGAGTTGCCCCCCTTGGCTGTCAGGATCCTTTGGCCATTAGTTCAAGTCTTTGATTCACCTTGACGATGACCATTAGTCTGACCCTGTAGGGTCTCCTGTCTTGAATTGGTGCCCAGCAATGTTTACCGATGACATGGATTGTTGCTCATAATATCAATCTCTGGTTTGTCTGCCCAGACACAATTATTCACAGGGGTATTCCAAAGTAAGAAGGGTTTGCAAAATGTGAGACTCTTCTAACTATTTCTACCCACATTAAGTTGATGTGCCGTGATCATTGTGATAAACATGATATAGGTTTATACTGTTCAATGCAGCGTAAGCACCGACTCATTTGTTCACTGAAGTAGGGGCAGTGGGGTAGCCTATTGGTTGAAGATTTTGCTCATCACACTTTAGTCCCAGGTGTGATTCCCCACATGGATACAATGTGTGAAGCCTGTTTCTGGTGTCCCCTGCTGTGATATTGCTGGAATATTGCTAAAAGCAGCATAAAACCATACTCAGTCACTTTCTTGCTCATAGAAGTAAACCATGATTTTGCATCATGTTCTCACTCACTCATTCGCCCAAACTAACTCACTCACTCACTCACTCATTCGCCCAAACTCACTCTCACTCACTCACTCACTCACTCACTCACTCACTCACTCACTCACTCACTCACTCACTCACTCACTCACTCACTCACTCATTCGCCCAAACTAACTCACTAACTCACTCACTCATCCAAACCTGCTTGCTCACCTGCTCAGTCTCTCACTACATGTTGTTGTGTTGGCATGTTGTTGTGTTGGCATGTTGTTGTGTTGGCATGTTGTTGTGTTGGCATGTTGTTGTGTTGGCATGTTGTTGTGTTGGCATGTTGAGACATTGGATTAAGTGATTCACTGTGATAACTTGTGTGGCAGGAACCGCCAGATTAACCATGCCAGGAATGTGTGGGATCGGGCTGTCACCATCCTGCCCCGGGCCAACCAGTTCTGGTACAAGTACACCTATATGGAGGAGATGCTGGCCAACATTGCAGGTAAGCGTATACTACTCAACAGAAGTTAAGGAACAGCTGATGCTTTCCTATTACTATAGCAGTTTATTTACTGCAGGAACATGTATGTTTAAAGTCTACGTTTGAACATTGGTTGTATTGCATTTTATCGACGGATGTTATCATATGCCGGGATATCAATATAAATAATAATTATGATGTCTTTAAATTTACGCATGTGAATAATTCACTTCCACAGAAATATTTATCATACATTTATTATAACTAAGAAGTAAGAAGGCAGAAAGTTCAGTTTTGAACATGTAATGGAACAGCCTTGTTCATGTTTAGCATTAAATTGCTGGTCTACTTAGCATGCTAATGTAACCATGGTCACTGTTATCTATACACATACAGGATAAGATATCGTATTATTAATCGTGATGATATGTCATGATACTTCTGAGTCAGTAGGGGGCACGGGTGGCCCAGTTGTCTAAGGCGCCGTGATTTGCTGTGCAGAGTTGCGTCCCTTGGACATGCCAGAAACCTATGATTGTGGGTTCATATCCCGGTTCGTCCTGATTATGTTTCTAGGTTTGTCAGCACCATACCTGTGCACGTGGGTTTCACCAAAGTGGTAAACGTCTGAGACCTGCATCACTTCGGGCTTTACTCCCACATTAAAAGTGGCATTAAATCGAACTCACTCACTCTGAGTCGGTATATTTGCATCTGCCTTACAGTTTTAGCTCACCCTGTACTACCCATTTGATGTTTTGTTCTCAAAACCTTAAGTTGATGCTAAAGGTCTATAATCCTCTGTGGTTTCTTTCTAGAGTGAGTGCTAATATCTTTTTTTTTGTATTTGTTTTCTGACATTCTGAGCTATGATTGGTTTCTGTTCCCCCCCCCTGCAGGGTGTCGCCAAGTGTTCGAGAGATGGACCGAGTGGGAGCCTGAGGAACAAGCCTGGCACTCCTACATCAACTTTGAGCTCCGCTACAAGGAACTGGACCGAGCCAGGGCAATATACGAGAGATATATCCTTCACCAGCTGAAAACATGACCACTAGGACATTGTTATCATGGTTATGGCATACTCTTGGTCATTTAGCACTGAAAAAGTTGTAATGTAATTTTAACCTCACCATGCTTATCAGTCATCACTGTTATATTTCTCCATTCTGTCATCTTTGTAGCTACGATGGGGTAGCCTAGTGGTTAAAGTGTTTGCTCGTCACGTCGAAGACAGGGTTCGATTCCCTACATGGGTACAATGTGTGAAGCCCATTTCTGGCGTCCCCCGCAGTGATATTGCTGGAATGTTGCTAAAAGTGGCATTAAAGAATAATCGCTCACTCACTCACTCACTCACTGTAGCCAGTGTATTACGTGTATATCTCTATTCCATTATACATAGAGATATAAAACACTGAATGATCACAGATGTTTTATCTAGATTCTTTAAGTGACTGCCTCCATGGTCTAGTGGTAGAGCGTTCGTCCGGAGAATAGAATGTTTGCGGTTCGATCCTCGACAACATCATACCAAAAGACGTTAAAAAATAGTACTTGTTGTTACCCCGCTTGGAGCTCAGCATTGAGGGGCTAAAACAAGGACTGGTCGGCTCGGAGTCAGTATACTGTGTCTGAGTGGGGTATTCCTGTGAAGCTGTGGCAGGTATCTCAGTGGGCGAGCACTATAATTCGGCCTTCGTTCAGACTAGTACAAGAAGCCCCACAAACACACCCACACACACATGCATGCACGTTGCTAAAAAAGGCAGTAATCTTGAGGTGATGCTAAACCCCATTTCACTTCACCTCACCCCTTAGAGAACGTTCTCTCTACTATTACTTGGAAATTCTGGGATTCATAGATGCCTGTCCGTTACTGATTATATGACAAATAACAGCGGCTTATGTACATGATAAAAAATATGATTATCTGTTTTAACAATTTCTGACATTTGCAGAACCCCTAACAAATTTCATGTGTAAATCGGGGGCACTGGTGGCCCAGTCGTCTAAGGCACCATGATTCGCTGTGCAGAGTTGCGTCCCTTGGGCATGCCAGAAACCTATGATTGTGGGTTCGAATCCCGGTTCGCCCCAATTATGTTTCTAAGTTTGTCAGCACCATACCTGTGCTTGTTGGTTTCACCGAAGTGGGAAATGTCTGAGACCTGCATCACTTCAGGCTTTCCTCCCACATTAAGCTGACACGCCGCGATATTACTGGAATACTGTTAAAAGCGGCGTTAAACCCAACTCACTCACTCACTCACTCATGGGTAAATCATTACTTGATCGAAATGAATCTGTCAACCTGGGTGCCATGCTTTCCTTAACTGTGTTACTCGTGATCGTCCACCCGGAGGTGAAGAACTGGATCAAGTATGCCAAGTTTGAGGAGAAGCACTCCTACATCAACAGTTCCCGGAGCATCTACGAAAGGGCCGTGGAGTTCTTTGGGGAGCATAATGTTGACGAGAAACTGCTCATTGCATTTGCCAAGTTTGAAGAAGGGCAAAAGGAGGTACATACATATAGCAGCATGAGAATGATTAGAAATTAACGCAAGCCAGCATCTGATGGCATCAGACCTTTTCAAAGAGATAATTGTGGGCCACAAATCCTCGTCCCACTTGCATAAAGTGATCTTAGCGCTGTGACGATCATACTTCCATGAGACATAGACTTACGATAGTTGTGGCACTAAGGTCACTTTGTTGTCCCAAGAATGTCTGAGCTTGTGTTAATGACCTGTTCCTTATAGTTCTTCAAGGTTCAGTTATCAAGTGAGTATTTGTCTCAACCATTATCTTCTTGCTCACAGTAAAGGGCAGAATAGGTCTCCAGTATCCCATGCTTGTAGGGGCTGACGAATGTGGATTATGTGGTTGCAATATGTGACCTGGCTTATTGTGTGTCATCGGGAACTGATGGCATGGAACATTGCTCATGCTATCAACCTCTAGTTTGCCTGGCTGTTTTTCCCTCCAGTCAGCCCATGTTCCATGTATCATAGACATTGTGTAACAAGTTTTGTAGACATTGTGTAACAAGTACTGTAGACATTGTGTGACAAGTATTGTAGACATTGTGTGACAAGTACTGTAGACATTGTGTGACAAGTACTGTAGACATTGTGCAACAAGTACTGTAGACATTGTGTAACAAGTACTGTAGACATTGTGTAACAAGTACTGTAGACATCGTGCAACAAGTACTGTAGCCATTTTGCGACAAGTACTGTAGACATTGTGTAACATGTGCTATAGACATTTTGAAACAAGTACTGTAGACATTGTGTAAGAAGTACTGTAGACATTTTGAAACAAGTACTGTAGACATTGTGTAACAAGTACTGTAGACATTGTGCAACAAGTACTGTAGCCATTTTGCGACAAGTACTGTAGACATTGTGTTACATGTGCTATAGACATTTTGAAACAAGTACTGTAGACATTGTGCGTGTGTATCAAGTACTGTAGACATTGTGTTACAAGTACTGTAGACATTGTGCGACAAGTTCAGTAGACATTGTGTGACAAGTACTGTAGACATTGTGTAACAAGTACTGTCTAATCCAGCATGACCGAGCCCGTGTCATCTACAAGTTTGCATTGGACCACCTGCCGAAGGAAGCTTGTCAAGAGATCTACAAGCAGTACACCATGCATGAGAAGAGGTATGGTAGTCGGGCTGCCATAGAGGATGTCATAGTCAACAAGAGGCGCTTCCAGTATGAAGAGGTAGGACAAAAACAGTGTCTAGCATAAGCTCTTCTTCATACTTGTCTTACATTAATTACTAGGGTTTCATCCGAATCTTTAAAAAAACGTGATGCAAAAGACAGTAATTATTAAAAAAAAAATTATTTTATTTTTTTAAACAAACTGTTTATATGAATTTTAGATGGATGTGATTCACGAGAAGAGTGAACTCATTCTAGGACTATGTAATTTGTGTATTTCCTCAGCAGGGAAAACATGAAGAGATTTTGTTTGCCTGAAGGTAAATGAGGCGAGATGGTAGGGATGAAGACTTAGGAGTTAATTGATTATGTCCTTATAGTGCTTGTCTGTAAGTATTCCTAGTATCAACTTTGCAGCAAGATTTTAAAAAGCAGTTTAGCGTTCATTTTAGGACATTTTATCCATTTAGGCTGCATGAACGGCAGGTTCAACAGAAAAGCAACATCATAAACATCAAATGTGCATATAACATAACATTCTTCCCAGTGATCCACTTACTGGTATGTGATGACATGTTATAAAGCAACTTCCAACACAGTGCTTGAAACCTTCGTTACATTCCTGGTATGGGGGAGAGGAAGCAAAGTGTCACTGTGGGGAGCTTTAAGATGAGTGTACTGATTAGAGTACATGACATGCCTGACGCTCTATTTGGCACTTCACATTTTGTTATAATTGGTTTACCTATATATGTGTTTAGATCTCCTGACATTTTGGATAATCAATAAAATAACAGTAACATGGGTCGAATTATCATTTTGCATGAAGATGTATAAGAATACTTAAGAGTTTGACATTAATACAGTAAGTTAATGGCACATTTTTGTTGGATGACCCTTCCCTTTTTAAGAATGACCAAATGTTCGTCACTGGTCTGAAAGCCTTGATAACACATTGACTTGCTTGTCAGGAAGTGAATGCCAATCCCATGAACTACGATGCCTGGTTCGACTACCTGCGACTGTTGGAGGCTGATGGGAATGTAGAGCAAGTGCGGGAGACGTATGAGCGAGCCATTGCCAACCTCCCACCATCAAAGGTAACATATCTTTCTGGTTTCTGATGAAGTATCATCACTTTGAGGTTTCATTCTACAGTAAGCTGTTCAAAGTAGCATAAACTTAACTTACACAGGGGCACAGGTATCCCATTCTAAGTTGTCTTAATTTACTGTGAAGACAGGCATCACTTTGGCATACCACAATCAGATTGTTGTGTGTTTGAATCCCAAATTTGCCCTCATTATGATACTTGGTTTGTCAGGACCATACCTGCGCTCATGGGCTTCACCGGAATGGTAACCTCCAAGACCTACATCCATTTAGGCTTTACTTACATGACTGGACCAGTCGTCTAAGGCGCCGCAATTCGCTGTGCAGAGTTTTATCCCTTAGACACTGCAGAAACCTATGATTGTGGGTCGAATCCTGGTTCACCCCGATTGTGTTTCTAGGTTTGTCAGCACCATACCCGTGCTTGTGGGTTTTCCCAAAGTGGTGAATATCTGGGACCACCATCACTTTAGGCTTTCCTTCACATTAAGCTGTCATGCCATGAAATAACTGGACTACTGTTCAATGCGGCGTTAAAACCAAGTCACTTCTCACATGATTAAGCAGACATGCTGTGACATCACTCAAATACTGTTCAAAGCAGTGTAAAACCTAACTCACTGAACATAACGAGTAGTGATTTCAAGTACTCCAAATAATTTCTCTGACGTCAGTCACTAGTCCGTTAGTCCAAGACGAGTTGTTTTCTCCCAAAATCTAGTTTCTTTGCATCAGCCACAAGTAAAAAATGAGCCTCTGACTAGGTGGATATGACCATGGGTTCTACCCCTGGGTGTGGTAAGGAAGTGAACGCAGAGGACCTGTGATCGATTCCAAACATGATACAAAGCAGTAAAGCCAGTTCTTATACCCCTTATCAATATGTGTCTGCATTATCACAGATAGTGCCATCAGGCCATACAGACAACAGCAAACAGATTCAGTACGACAATATTTCCGATTGTTGATTTTGCATTGGAAGACATCTGAGGTGCTCCATGTTGGCAGGAAAAGCGTCACTGGCGGAGGTACATCTACCTGTGGATCAACTACGCTGTGTACGAGGAGCTCGAGACTGGGGACATGGAGCATGCACGCAATGTGTACAAAGCCTGTCTAGATGTTGTCCCTCACAAGAGCTTCACCTTCGCCAAGGTGTGGCTGCTGCTGGCACAGTTCGAGATCCGCCAGCGGAACCTACAGGCTGCCAGGAGGGTGCTGGTAGGTTGGCCAATAGCTGGACACACTGTTCATAGTTAGAGCCTGCCCACAGGCCTGGGGCAGGTAGAGCTCAAGTTGGGCCTGTAGTGTCAGGCCTTATGGCCTGCAAGCAATGTATGTGTCAATGTATGTGTCGACGTAATAAGCGCCCAGGGCGCTCTCAAAATTAGAGATAGGGGGTTCTTATTAGAATATTATTTTGGTGAAAAAAACAGAGTTGAAAGATAAATTTTGTGGTTTATGGTGACAGCCTGAAATGTTGATGTACGACAGATATATTTTCCCAGAATTTAATTGCCCATAATTAAGGGTGCATATAACACACGAGTGTGTATTCAACGCGAATAAATAAGTCTTGTGTACATTGATCAATCGGAAAGGGTGCTAATTGGGATTGTTCACCAGCCAATATATCAGCAAATATCGCCGTGGGCGCTTATTAGAGCGGGGTGCTTATTACGTTGAATACGGTAAGCTAATTCCAACACTGGCTGGACATGGAAGAGTTGTTGGTGGAGGAGTCACTAACTCAGACATGAAATTACTGTGAAACCCAGTTAACTCGGACTCATTTAGGCCATAAAAAATGAAATGAATCATTAGATGGTCATCCCTGATGCTTCATACTAAGCTTATCCTGAATTTTGTTGCTCCAAGGTATCTACAGATTACATGGATTAATCTAGACCTGCTCATAGGCTGCTATTTGGCCCCAAGTATGAAGCAAATGTCTGTAACAATTCCCAAATTGGAAATAAATAATGTCCATGTCATGTCATTTCCCCTACCACAGAACGTGCAGTGCATGCGCGCTTGCGCTGTGCCTTCCACGGTTTGTCCCCCTGCGTGTCATGTACACATTGCTTTACAAAATTACATGATAGTTTCTTAAAGAACTTCATCTGTCATGGGTTTTAAAAAAAACAAAATTCAGATTTAATTGGGTACAGGGTATTCATGGTCAAGTACCGTATTGATGTTTCATACACTTTTCTGGATTCATCGTTCTCATTTGGATCGCCGCGAATAGCTGCAAAATTGCTGATGCGGCGTTAAGCAATATTCACTCACTCACTCGTTCTCATTTGGAGTCAAACAGACTGTAGTGTTTACAGCTGCAAATGTGGTACGCCAGTACTCCCTTGTCTTGAGACCTATTGTCAGTTGTCCCTAGTGTTTACAGCTGTAAATGTGGTACGCCAGTACTCCCTTGTCTTGAACCTATTGTCAGTGGCCCCTAGTGTTTACAGCTGTAAATGTGGTACGCCAGTACTCCCTTGTCTTGAAACCTATTGTCAGATGCCCCTAGTGTTTACAGCTGTAAATGTGGTACGCCAGTACTCCCTTGTCTTGAAACCTATTGTCAGTGGCCCCTAGGGTTAACAGCTGTAAATGTGGTACGCCAGTACTCCCTTGTCTTGAACCTGTTGTCAGTGGCCCCTAGTGTTTACAGCTGTAAATGTGGTACGCCAGTACTCCCTTGTCTTGAAACCTATTGTCAGATGCCCCTAGTGTTAACAGCTGTAAATGTGGTACGCCAGTACTCCCTTGTCTTGAGACCTATTGTCAGTGGCCCCTAGTGTTTACAGCTGTAAATGTGGTACGCCAGTACTCCCTTGTCTTGAAACCTATTGTCAGATGCCCCTAGTGTTTACAGCTGTAAATGTGGTACGCCAGTACTCCCTTGTCTTGAAACCTATTGTCAGTGGCGCCTAGGGTTAACAGCTGTAAATGTGGTACGCCAGTACTCCCTTGTCTTGAAACCTATTGTCAGTGGCCTCTAGGGTTAACAGCTGTAAATGTGGTACGCCAGTACTCCCTTGTCTTGAACCTGTTGTCAGTGGCCCCTAGGGTTTACAGCTGTAAATGTGGTACGCCAGTACTCCCTTGTCTTGAAACCTATTGTCAGTGGCCCCTAGGGTTTACAGCTGTAAATGTGGTACGCCAGTACTCCCTTGTCTTGAACCTGTTGTCAGTGGCCCCTAGTGTTTACAGCTGTAAATGTGGTACGCCAGTACTCCCTTGTCTTGAACCTGTTGTCAGTGGCCCCTAGTGTTTACAGCTGTAAATGTGGTACGCCAGTACTCCCTTATCGTGAACCTGTTGTCAGTGGCCCCTAGTGTTTACAGCTGTAAATGTGGTACGCCAGTACTCCCTTGTCTTGAACCTGTTGTCAGTGGCCCCTAGGGTTTACAGCTGTAAATGTGGTACGCCAGTACTCCCTTGTCTTGAAACCTATTGTCAGTGGCCCCTAGTGTTTACAGCTGTAAATGTGGTACGCCAGTACTCCCTTGTCTTGAACCTGTTGTCAGTGGCCCCTAGTGTTTACAGCTGTAAATGTGGTACGCCAGTACTCCCTTGTCTTGAAACCTATTGTCAGTGGCCCCTAGGGTTAACAGCTGTAAATGCGGTACGCCGGTACTCCCTTGTCTTGAAACCTATTGTCAGTGGCCCCTAGTGTTTACAGCTGTGGTGGTTGTGTGCAGGGAGCAGCTATCGGCAAGTGTCCCAAGAACAAACTGTTCCGTGGCTACATTGAGCTGGAGCTGCAGTTGAGGGAGTTCGACCGGTGCCGCATTCTCTATGAGAAGTTCCTGGAGTTTGGCCCTGAGAACTGCACATCATGGATGAAGGTAATGACAACATAAGAGTTAAGTCCAAGTCAGTGTTTTAATAATTGAATTGTTTTACTATTGATTTGTAGAGAAACAATTGTGTAGCATGCAGAAAGTTATTTCTTTGTCAATACCTCAGATTAAATTAATGCCTTAGTAAGCATTGTACAGAGCATTTGAGTATTATGCAGAGTTGCATCCCTTGAAGTAGGCCACTGCTCTCAGTTTGAGACTGGCAGAACTGAAATGTTTAATTTTATCTTTCTGACACAATTGCGGCTTTATTGAATGGTGCTTGTGTACATTCTGAGAAGACCTGAGGGGACAGGCTAGAATAGGTCCCCAGCACACTATTGCTTGTTATAAGGGGCTTAGAAGTCATGAGGTCAGGCTTGGTTGCTTGCATATCAACGTATACTGATGGTATGGGAGGTTGCTGATGTCAACCACTGGTTTGCTCTTCCCTTCCTTGTATTTTACAAGCCGCTGTGATACAGCTGGACAATTTCTGACTGTACCATTAAACAACAAACAAAAATACTGGTCCAACTACTATAAGTCTATGTTTAAAGTATTAACTTCTCTCATACCCTTTTCTGTAAGCAAATACGCAACATTTTCTTTGATATTTAACCCCCTATTTTCGTTGATGTGACTTTTGATTCCCGCCTGCATTGCTTCATTTTGGCAAAAGATTATCACGCAATGACTCCATGTAATACAGCAGTTGGAGTTGAGCAGTGAACACTAATACCTACCAGCAGACAGCCTTAGAGCATGGGAGCTACACCAGTGTCACTGCTAGGATCACTTTGTTCAGACAGTCCCTAGTCCACTCGGTTGACCACTGTCATATGCTAAGTTTTCCTGTCAAACAGACAACGGCAGTGGAACCTGAAACAGCAAGAAAAAATGTGAAATCTTCTACTTTGAGCATAGGACGACCCCCTTTCACAAACCCCTCATTCTAGATATGAAAAACATGCATTATAGACAGCAATATATGGTATATGTTATGAAGGTGACCTCCTATTTACTGTTCCTTCGTCCCTAGTAGGGGCGATAGGGTAGCCTAGTGGTTAAAGCGTTCGCTCGTCACACCAATGACCCGGGTTCGATTCCCGACATAGGTATAATGTGTGAAGCCCATTTCTGGTGTCCCCCGCCGTGATATTGCTAAAAGGGGCGTAAAATCATACTCACTCACTCACTCACTCACTCACTCACTCACTCACTCACTCACTCACTCACTCGTCCCTAGTACGCTGAGCTGGAGACAATCCTGGGAGACTCGGACAGGGCTCGCTCCATCCTTGAGCTGGCCATCGGTCAGCCCAAACTTGACATGCCTGAGGTGCTGTGGAAGACGTATATTGACTTTGAGGTGGACCAGGAAGAGTACGACAATACACGCATGTTGTACAGGAGACTTCTAGAGAGGACGCACCACGTCAAGGTGAGAGCTGTTATCTGTTCCAGATGTGGACAACAGCATCTATTAGACCATCCATGTTATTTGTATGTAAGTCATCTCCTTGTCAGAATAAAATGTGAACAAAAAATAGAAATGAAAAATGTTCCTTTGTTTGAGAATGTGTTATATTTGAAGTGCAACAGTTGCTGAATGATGGATTTATGTTGAGAGCTTAAAAAAACGGGGGAGGTCGGGGAAATATATGGGCAGAGTTACCTCCCTTCCAACAATCCATGATGAGCAGGATACTTGCGACTTTAACTGCATGTTTAGTACGCAGAGATCTTTTTCAATTGTATATTTCAGTACTTGTATTGCATATTTTATGCTTTACTGCTGATTGTAATACACAGATTATCTGGATCTGACTGGCATTTTAGTGCCATCATTTACTTAATGGGCTTATCTTACTACCTAAAGACGTCTATTGTCATGTTTACAGGTGTGGATTAGTTTTGCCCAGTTTGAGAAGTCTACGGGTGAGGACACAGCATATGACAAGGTGCGGAAGGTATACCGCGAGGCCAACAGCACCCTCAAGTCAGCCGAGGACAAGGAGGAGAGGTTAATGCTCCTGGAGGCGTGGCAGGAGTTTGAGGTAGTAAGACGGGGCAGTTAAGACAGGCTAGAGGAGTATATAATGAGGGAGTAAGGAGAGACAAGAGTCCATGACGAGGGAGTAAGGAGAGACTAGAGTCCATGACGAGGGAGTAAGGAGAGACTAGAGTACATGACGAGGGAGTAAGGAGAGACTAGCGTATGTGACGAGGGAGTAAGGGCAGACTAGAGTCCATGACGAGGGAGTAAGGAGAGACTAGAGTCCATGACGAGGGAGTAAGGAGAGACTAGAGTACATGACGAGGGAGTAAGGAGAGACTAGCGTATGTGACGAGGGAGTAAGGGCAGACTAGAGTCCATGATGAGGGAGTAAGGAGAGACTAGCGTATGTGACGAGGGAGTAAGGAGAGACTAGCGTATGTGATGAGGGAGTAAGGGCAGACTAGAGTACATGACGAGGGAGTAAGGACAGACTACAGTGCATGACGAGGGAGTAAGGACAGACTAGAGTACATGACGAGGGAGTAAGGACAGACTAGGAAAACGGATGGAGAAATTAGGACAGACTACTGTACATGTGTGAGCAGGTAACATGATCAAAAAATGTTTCCATTAGTGTATTTTTCAAAAATTCTTCAATGCAAAATTAATGCTTAATAAATCTGTTTTAGGCTTGTTTGTGTTTCTTACTTTCAAAGATGGACAGACCTTTAGTGCCTGCCTCCTTAATTATGTCAGAGCCAAAGCTTTTATTCCCAGACTGATTTTGATTGAAGTTGTTCCCTCTCCACAGCGGGAGAATGGTGACGGTGAGACGCAGAAGGTGGTGCAGAAGCTGATGCCACAGAAGGTGAAGAAGAGGAGGAAGATACAGACAGAAGACGGGGTCAGTATCACCAGTAGCAGTGGACTACTTTGTTGTATAGGTCTCAATCAGCATTCGAGTTTGAAAATTAATAATAGGATAAATAAAAATAAAGTAAAAATACAAGATTATTCTCACAGTGACGTCCAAATCCTTGATATTAATTGTGATTGTCAAGAATGCTAACCAAGTTATCATTTATTCTGAGGAGGTAAACCTTGATTCTCTTGGGTTTCCTCATTTGGGTTTGTGTCTTTTGAGTCTTTAGATTTTAGGTGGGATTGGGTTTGTGTTAGAAATTGTTGTTCTCTAGAGATTGTATTTTGAAGTCTCTGAATTATGTTCCTTTCTGGTTTCAGACGGAAGCTGGGTGGGAAGAATACTATGACTACATCTTCCCCGACGAGGAGGCGGCGAAACCCAACCTGAAGCTGCTGGCGCTGGCCAAACGCTGGAAACAGGAGCAGGATGTGGTCAAGGAGGATGGGGAGGACGGGGAGGAGGAGGAGGAGGAGGAGGATGCAGAGAACTGAACTCAACCATCAGCAGGACAACTGACACCCTTACCCATCATACCATTGTACATGTTCTAACATGGATGTGTGTTGACTGCCTTATTAGAATACATCAGACAGTATTCCAAGTTTCTGGGCAAGGTTGACCTTGCATGCAGTTTCTCACTGAGGAGAACCTTTAAGATCAGTTTCAGTATATTGTGGTAGCTATCCCAGTTGATAGGTACAAGAACCAGTTCTCAGTTATGATGGCTATGAGTTTGCTGATGTGGCATAAAGAAATATTTACTCGCTCACTCACTCTGATAAGCAAGTCCGGGCATTATGGGGCACTGTAATATTTGGCCAAAGTGTAATAATCCACATTTGTCTAATCTCCTGGTAGGGACAGTCTCTATGGTGCTGATTGGGTGCCAAAGCACATGCACATGAGTGATAAAGAACCAGGTAATTTCCATATGAATGTATATGTTGAAAATGAACATAACTACTTAAGCAGCTATCCCTTTGCATGTTTGATATTCTACCTCTCAGCCTCCCTGGAGGACTGATTGTGATGAGGGATGTAGTTTCTGTTTGGACAATACCGTCAGTGCTGAATGTTTTCGGACTGGGGCTTTGTAGAGTATGAGTGTATGTATTTGGGTTGGAATCTGCAGTCAGTGTCAAGGCAGTGTGTAAAGAGGCAACTTTCTCAAATGAAGAGGATCAACTGGCGGATCCAGAGGGGGATACAGGGCATGCGTCACCCAGAAGACCTGGGTTTGATTCCCTACATCTGTTTAGACCATTTTTGGTTTATCCCAGCTGTGATCTGTCTGGATTAGTGCTAAAAGCCAGACTCACTCATTCACTGATACAGTGAAACCACATAATTGCGGCAGTACTGTTCCTCGTTAAATTGTGGTATAAATGAATCCTAGGTACATAGAAATGTCACTTTTGACGTTTGTAAGTCTGGAGTGCAAGGTTTCTGCACTGAGAGGGTGAGGACTGGCAGGTGTCACTGTGTTCATTCATATACTGATGCATCATGAAGATATTCAGCAGTCAGCAGTTTACCTGCATGGTTTCATCTGTGCCATCCTCTTCAGTGTATTCACATCATTTTTCATCGGACCAAATCATGTAATTGTGACAGTCAAGCATATTTTCAAGAACATTTTGTAATTGTATATTTTGTAAATAAACAACGGACATTACATCGACATTGTGTAGCTTGTGTTTGGCGGATGGTGTTTAGATGAAGATCAATATTAATCAGTATGAAATATGTGACGCAGCATATTCAATTGTGTTCATCATGCAAGAATACTCACAGCTTTGTCAGAACAGGCTTTCCCATGGGGATACCAGTGCCTATTGCTTGTAAGATGTGACTAGAATTACCATTGGGTGGCTGCAGAGTGTGTGATCATGTCGACCTTGCAGAATATTGCTTATTCTGTCAACCAGTGGTTTGTCCAGCCCAGATTCAATCATTTAGGGGCCAAGGTATTATAGCTGGAATATTGCTGACTGTGGCGTAAAACATTATTCACTCACAGAAAGAGATGAGGCATTGTGTTCATGGTTAATATCAGCAGTGATGTCATTTATTGAACAAATTTAAAGAGGCACTTGGCTCCAACACACAGGCAGTCCCAGCGAGTGGGACCAAACGTATGTGCTGCAAATTCCAAATTTTTTGGGGAGGCTGGGGTAGCCCTATGGTTCGGTTGTCATCCTGAAGACCCTGGTTTGATTCCCACATGGGTACAATGTGTGGCGCCTATATCTGGTGTCCCCCTGATATTGCAAGCAGCCATATAAAATCCATACTCACTCACTTTTTTGTGATTGTTAATGGCAAGACAGAGATATTGTCTCTGACCCAATTCACTTACTACTATGTCTGGACTTATGGGGTTGCCTAGTTGTCTAAGGCCTCACAATTCTGCTGTAGAAAGCAGCGTCCCTTGTGTAGTTCAGAAACTTTGGTCTCCTAGATTATGTTTGTATGTTTGTTTGTTGTTTAAAGCTGCACTCAGTGGTATTCCAGCTATATGATGGTGGTCTGTAAATAATCAAGTCTGGACCAGACAATCCATTAACTGATATGAGCATTGATCTACGCAACTGATATACCATGCCATGAATCAGCAAGCCTGACCACCTGATCCCATTGGTCCCTCTTATTAAAAGCAGGGTGGTCAGGTAGCCTAGTGGTTAAAGTGTTCGCTCGTCATGCCGAACGGGTTCGATTCCCGACATGGGTACGATGTGTGAAGCCCATTTCTGGTGTCCCCGCCGTGATATTGCTGGAATATTGCTAAAAGTGGCGTAACACCATACTCACTCACTCACTATGAAAAGCATGATCCACCAATTTCCACTCGGATCTCCCCCTATCGATTATGTTTCTTGGTTTGTCAGCACCATACCTGTGCTTGTAGGTTTCACCTGAGTAGTAAACGTCGGAGACTTGCATTACTTCTGGCTTTCCACAAACATTTAGCTGAGATGCTGTGACATAACTAGAATACCGTTAAAGCTGTGTTAAACCCAACTCACTCACTCGCTCAAGACCTAGATTTGAAATAGGTTCCAGAAAGTGGAGATTAGCTCCCCGTTAAATCTAACTTATAATTAGCGTTGGCGTTTATTTGATTGAAGCATTTAAATAAGATTTACGGTATGTGTACATGTAAAGAAAGACGAAGATTTCCCTTTTTAACCTCTTGCTACTCGGACATCCTATATATCCTCTCACCTTGGTTACGAATAGACGAAACATTATTCCTTATCGGTGTTTGTGAATAGCCCCCTCCCTTAAAACTGCATACATTTAATTTCAAGGTACATAATGAATTCCGAGGTAAATAATGAGATAATAGAAGACTATTGACGGGAACACGCTGAATAAATACGGGATCGGGAATTGTAACCTGCTGTCAAATATTTCTGCAATTTAAATCCTGATATCTTCCTTGCTATTGTTGAGATGCCCCCTTCTCGAATTACCGGTGAAGCACCTCTTCACCTATTTCACACCTGGGTTCACCTTCCCGCATCCAGGTAAACCCTTTGATAGTACCGACATGTTCAAATATATCGCCTTCAGTGACAACCATGCAGGTATTGGAGGGCTGTACCACAGCATCATGACTCGATCCAGCAGAACGACCTCTTTACGCTTGGCAGTGAAGGGACACGGTCAAAACGCAGTGGGCGAGTCTCCCGGGTGTGATGAGTGGTAAGGGAATACCCATATCTATATCGCTTTAGAAGGGGAACAGATCGAATTTTTATTAGCTCACCTGAACGAAAGTGAGTTGTACGATGTTACTCGGACAAGTGTGCATGGGTACTACTCAAATGGAGTTAAAGAACACCTGATTCTTTCATATTACTATAGTTAATCTGTCATGACATTCACTCATATGAACCTCCAATCAGGTGAGCTAATAAAAATCATGGCATGATAATTTACTTATTGTAATATGAAAGGATCGGGTGTTTTTATTTATTTTATTTTTTTGTTTGATTGCGGTATGTAAATAATCGAGTCAGGACCAGACATTCCAGTAACTGACATCATGAGCATCGATCCACGCACTTAGGATACGAAGACATGCGAGCCTGACCACCCGATCCCGTTTTCCGCCTCTTACGACAAGCGTAGTCGTCTTTTACGGCAAGCATGGGTTGCTGAAGACCTATCCTGGATCTTTATGGGTCTTAACTTCTTTTGAGTAGCATGACAGATTGACTATAGTGATATGAAAGAATCGGGTGGGTTTTTTAACTTCTTTTGAGTAGTTTATTACAACAGATGCTATCAGGGATGAGATCCAATGCCCAAGACAGAATAAGTATTCGGTGCTTTGTGTACTGGGGTGTATGCGTGCTTGTAGAATTGGCCTTATAGTCACGTTATAACCCGGAGTTGTGTCCCTTAGCTGTTGGGCTCAAGGGTTCCACCATGATGGCTCCTGGTCGCGCTATTGGTTTTCAAATGGGTAAACGTCAACGACCAGCGTCGCCTTTCTCCCATATAAGGTACCACAACGTCATATGAGTGAAACGCTGTTAGTAGCCGTCGAACCCAAACTCTGTGTAAGAATGAGCGAGTATAGTTTTACGACGCTTTTAGCAATATTCAAGCAATATCAAGGCAGGAAACACCATAAATTGGCTTCACACATTATACCCATTTTGGGAAACGAACTCTGGCCTTCGGCGTGACGAGCGAACACTTTCACGACAAAGCTACTCTACCACCCCGTAAGAAACCCAAATCGGGAAGGTCAGTCGAAAACCCTGTGAAAGCACCAGATTTTACAACATCCAGGGGCGGTAGGGTAGCCTAGTGGTTAAAGCGTTCGCTCGTCACGCCGAAGACCCGGGTTCGATTCCCGACATGGGTACAATGTGTGAAGCCCATTTCTGGTGTCCCCCGCCGTGATATTGCTGGAATATTGCTAAACGCGGCGTAAAACCATACTCACTCACTCACTACAACTTCCAGGTTAGGTTTCCTCACAGATATGGCGGAATACGCTAGCTGTCACCTCCATGACGAATGAATGCTCACGCTGTGATTGCTACTGGTTTACCTGCTGGCACTTCGTTACACTCCACCGTGAATCATGTGAGAATATGTGAGATCTGCTTACCACCACGCAACAATCCAGTATTACTCACCTTCTGGGAGATCGGACGTTCACCTGCTATGCACACCTGACTGAAAGTCAAGTGTGCGTATGTCGTGTCACCTTGTTTGTTGTCCGTCCCTCACTTCCTCCGACGTATTTTTTAAACATGTACGACATCGCTTGAACCACAGAGCCTTCTTTATATCCCTGTTTTTCTAGTTTTGCTACATTGTCTACATTTCCTCTGAAACGTTGGAGTTTTAAATGGAAATGAGACGGTGTATAATTATGTTTCCAGCAATGGTTCTTCAGAATGACGTTCCAATTTTAAACATGGCCGCAATGGCAGCCATATTTACAATTTATTTCATTTTTGCCAATTGCTCAACAAATTCTGCATTTAGCCCTCCAGGTATAATTTTACCGTATGTCGACAAGTGACAGTTTGTTTTTGTATTGTTCAACTGACAAAACTTCGATTATTGACCTTCCCGAACTGTGTGGCTGCCAGTAGGTCCCTATGGCAGTCTTGATAAACGTGTAATTTGGTCCTATACATAACACACTATGCATGTATCATTGTGTAATGTAATGAACGTGCTGTGAGATTGTCTGTTGTGTAAACAACCGTTATCTCTTTGCCTTATTCTAGTTTACCATGTCAACCTGTGCATGATCTGGACCACCTCCGTGGTCTAGTTGTAGAGCGCCCGACCGGAGAGTGGAAGGATGGGGGTTCGATCCCCGGCTGCATCATACCAAAAGACGTTAAAAGAATTACTTCTTGTTACCTTGCCTGGAGCTCGGCTTAAAGGGGCTAAAACAAGGACTGGTTGGCTCGGAGTCAGTATACTGTGTCTGAGTGAGGTATTCATGTTGAACAGCGGCATGGTATCTCAGTTGGCATTCAGCACTATAAAATCGGCATTAGGCCGGACTAATCACACACACGCGTGCATGCACGTCGCTATATAAGTGCACCTTGAACGCGAAGTTAAACACCGTTTCACCGCTCCACCTTGTATTATCTGAGGTCTGATACAGGTGAGCTACAGAACCTGGATACTGTATTCTCACACATTTCACGTGTTAATTCCACCCACCAATCCCCCCTCTTGTCACAATGGACCAGCCTCTGGAAACACCACCACGACGGAAGTTGGTTTGCGTCATGAATTATGTATGAGGCCAACTGTATACACCCATCATAGGTCGCACATACATATTTATGCTCACGAGTCCAGATTCTCGAAAAAGAATTCGTAAGAATTATTGAATTATTTTTGTTTCGCTTCTGGGTCAAGTTTGTTTGCCACGATACTAATCCACAGTCAAGAATTCTGTAAACATTTTCAAGAGTAGATGCATGACATGTCGGGAAAATCATAACAGCGCCTCCTAATCCGAGAAGAATGTCAGAGATTAGATATCATTGTCGCTTAAGTATACATGTGTAAATACTCCATGCACTGCGTGGATTCCGAGGACAATAGAGTGGGTGAACGTGTGAAATTTGGCGCCGCCTTGAGCTCTCTGCAGCGTTATCACAGCGACCGGCTTTGTTGTAGG